ACATAATAAATATTTTTTGGTTGAGAATTTTATTTTAAATTTAAATAATTCTTACCCAATTTATAGCTTGCAACTTTCTATAAACTTTAGGGTAAATCATTAACATAATAATTATATTTTGATTTTAAAAAATAAAATATTTTATATAAATTTTATTATATAATTCGTATTAATAAAAGTCATGCATGTAATATGTATGAACATCGATGTACATTTTTATTACTACGAGTTTGTTTTCTCTAGCATTTCAAATTAAAATAATATTATTTATTTTGCACTATTTTTAATAAAATATATTATTTTATTTCATAAAAATATTACATAAAATATTATTTAAATTAAATTTTAAATCAATAATTACTTTCAAATTATAATCAAATTTTTTTAAAAAAATGGCCTATATATTAATTATACAATCGCACTTTAAAGTTTATTTGGTTTGAATTTATATTTGATTTTTTAGTTTTTATCTAAGTAATATTTTTAATATTAAGTTTTATTAATGAAAAATATTGTTAAAAATTATGTGGGTGGTGTGGTAAAAGAAAAAAAGTATTTATTTTAAATATCACCAACGTGTGTTTGTATTGTAAGATAATTTGAATAAATATTTTTTTATGTGCAGTATAAAAAGATTATGTACAAAATATAAAAATTATGAATATACGTGATATAGTAATATTTTTGGAAAAAATATGTGTATTTTTTTGTTAAAAAAAAATATTTTATGAATTTATGTTTGTTTTTATTTATATTTGATTTTAATTTTGTAATTAAATAGTTATTGGATGAAATGTTTAAAAAAAAAATGTATTTTTATAAGTATAGTAAAATATAGTAAAAAAATAAAAAAATAATATCATGATCCAAGTGTCTTAAAAACAAATTTAATTTATTTTATATGTAATAATATGTAAACTAACACTGTTAGTATATTATTACTGCTAAATATATTGTCCTCTTTAATATTTTAAATATTATTTTATCTATAATTTCAAATATTATACAATCAAAATAATACTAATACATCAAGTGAACAATATTTGATGAAAATATTGGAATTATAGTTTTTAGATTAATTTTTTAGATAAATTTGATTGTTAATCAGTAGATAATATAATTATATACTTTAATCGTATTTTAAATTTTAAATTTAATAATTTTTTCAATTTTAATTAAACTATTTGATTATTTTAATCTAAATCTATAATTATTTTTACTAAATAATAATTATTTCTACTAATACATTTTTTAATTACCTACTGACTATACTTTACCTAAATTCTCGTATCTACACTAATATATAATCCAAAATATGTAAGACGGAGAGAGTATAAATGATCGTTTTACTGAATTCTCCACTAATGTAAAACCTAATTTGGTGAGGAATGGTAGAAAATCATCCAAATTGTTTAATATTTAATTAGTGGCTCTAATAAGTTCTACTACAATCGTGTCTCGTCATTTAAATATACTAAAAATGATGGTTCGACCCCATTATTAATTATTAATTATATTGCTATTTTATTATATTTTTAAAAAAATACTTTTATTACATGGAGGTGTGTGCCTATTCACTATCTATCTATATATATACACTAATTACTCTTAGCCGGAAACACTAAAAATAATAATTAATAAATTATTAGTATTTGTAAAAGACTCTTATACCTTTACACTTTTAATTAAAAATTGTTTAATTATGTTAATATAAATGATTGGACAATTATTCATATATTTTATCAATAATAATTAGTTATAAATACAAGATATAATTATTAATATGGAAGTATATTAATTGTATGATTTATTAATATTATATTATATACATATATAGTTTATTAATATCTATATGTTTATCATTTAATATTATTTTTTTTGACATATAAAATATTGTTTTAGGTTTATATTTGTTAGATTTTTTTGTCAATTTGAATTCTGATAAATTATTTTTATAACAATTATTAAATTAAATTTATCAGAATTCAAATTGACAACAAAAATCTAACAATTGAATGAAAAACGTGTGTTTAGTTATTTTTTGAGAAAATTTTTATGATGTTTTTTATTTTATGTTCTTATTTATTTTAATATAATATTTATATATATATTTGGAAAAATAAAATAAGAAGATAAAATATCTCACTATCAATAATATTTTTCACATATCTCTAATCTTTTCACATTAAGTTTGGGATTTAAGTCAACCAGAGCTTGCGTTTGAATATCTTCATTCACGATGTTATCCTCTTGAAAATCTTCATATTGATCATTTTCTTCTAAATCACTACCAAATAAATCGTATACAACATTTGCTATATATCCATATTTTTATTATATTAACATATACAATTGTTGAGTACAAAAATAATAATAATAATAAATGATGGCAGTAGGATTCTGGATGGGTCTGAATATAAGCCAAACGGCCTAGAAGTCGGGCAAAAGAAAGTCGAACAAGGAAAGATGACGGCCGATACGAAGGTCGGGCAAGATGAGGTCGGTCAGGACTAAAGTCGGGCGAAGAAAGATGAGATGGCAGACGCGGAGGTCGGTCAGGACGAAGAAGGGAAAAGCAATACGTACTCAGGTCGGTGAGATAAGGTCGGGCTCTGAGGTTGGACATGATAAGGTCGGGCACGGAGATCAGACAAGATAAGGTTGGGCACGGAGATCGGACGTAATAAGGTCAGGCACGGAAGTCGGACCTAATAAGGTTGGGCACTGAGGTCGGACGTGATCAGGTCGGGCACGGAAGTCGGACCTGATAAGGTCGGGCACTGAGGTCAGACGTGATCAGGTCGGACTCGGAGGTCGGACAAGATAAGATCAGACACGGAGGTCGGTTGAAAGAGGAAGTCGGGCGAAGAAGGACGGCTGATACTGAGGTCGGTCGAAAAAGGAGGTCGGGCGAAAAATGACGGCTGATACGAAGGTCGGTCAAAAAAGGAAGTCGGGCGAAGAAGGACGGCTGATACGGAGGTCGGTCGAAAGAGGAAGTCGCGCGAAGAAGGACGGTTGATACGGAGGTCGGTCGAAAAAAGGTCTGTTAATTGGTCGCCTACTTAAGTAAATAGTAGTTCAGTCGCTTGGTTGGGGCGACCATTGAATCGTCTTGATGATTCATTGTTCAGCCGATTGGAGAAATCAGATGGTGGTCGCTTGATGGGGCGGCCGATAAGTCGTTTGGTCTAGCGACCAGTTAGTCTTTGGATTGGCCGGTTGGTCAATCGTTGGGTTATTCGGTAGGTTCAGTCGGTTGGTCTACGGTCCGTCTAAGAAGCCAGAGGTTATTGCTGGGCGGTTGAGTAGTCGGTCGGGACCAGCCGCCCATTTCAGGCGGTGAGGTTTTCAGAGACGGTTGGCCGAGCCATTTGAGTGTTGTAACTGGCGCGAGCGGTTGATGAGTCGATTATCATACGTGTCAACAGAGGAGGACCTGGTGGGTGGTTGACAGCGGTTGTTGTAATCGACCAGACGGCGGTTCAAACCGTTTCTTTAAAGGGTTATTTAAGGATTCGGGTATGTTCTGAAAAATCATCTTCAATCGACATCAAATTCAAGAGAATTGCTTTTGGGGATCACCGCTTTACTTTTTCAGTCTGTAGTATTTATTTTCTCAGTTTATGTACAGTGTCTAGAGATTCGTAATCTCAGGCATTTATTTTATCAAATTCGAAGATAATTTCTATTTTCGAATTTTACTTTTTATTGTTGAAAAATTGCATCACAACAATATGTTGTCTGTAATAATATTTTGTACTGATTAGACTATAATATGTATTTTTTTTCATGTGTTAATATTTATATTATATTAACATATAATGTGAAGTTTGTAGAAATATTTTGTATTGTTATTTAGACGATAGAAATTAGTTATTTATTGATTATAAAAATAAAAAATGTGTTTAAATATTTTTAATATTATATTTGAATAAAATATGTGCAATATAGATATCATTTTGTAGAGAATAAAATTTATATTATACAAATAAATAAAAAAATTATTTATTTATTTATCATTATCATAAATTAATTTTATAAAAAATAGAGAGTTTTAAAGATAAACAAAAATATTTGTTAGTTGATGAGAGATAGAAACCAAGAGGTTTTGAGTGGATCTTACATTATTTACTTGAATTGATTTTGTATTTATTAAGTGTGTTTAAAACTAATAAATTTACCAAAAATAGAAAAAAAAATTAAAAAAAAAAATCTCCTATTGTAGAACGAAAAAATAAAAAATAAAAAATTATGTGTAGCAAAAACAGAAAGAGTATTATCGTATTTATCACTAAAAACCATCTAACTTTTCATTAACAAATTAAATAAATTGTGTATAATTTTAGACATGTACATGTGTACCCCTTGCTGCATTGCCTCCACACCAGGACACAATTAAAGAGTATTTTCGTATTTATTCTCATGCCGTAGATATAGCCCGCCTGGACTGTACTTGGAGGTCTTGTGATTTTGAGATTATGCTATCTGTCATCTGTCCGTTGCTTTGCCTACATGTGATTTGAAACCTATCTACGATATGCCATCTGTCGGCTGCTTGTCTGTTGTCTGCGGTATACTTACATTATTATGCACATATGTTAATACTTCATTCGTCCCATAACAAAGTATCAATTTTTTCATTTTAGTCCGTCCCATAACAAAGTATCAATTTTTTTTAGTAACTATACTATCTAACTAACATTATAAATACCCTTACAACTTACAATATATTATACAAATGTCATTACATTTATATCACAGCATACTAATAAGGTTATTTTAGTTATTTCTACTTTATTTCTACTATATTTCAATATAATACTAATATTTTTAAAATTATTTGTAAAAAGCAAATTGATACCTACTCATGTAAGAATATGGATAGGTTATAAATTGTCAACCAATTTGATTCGAATTCAAACGAATCAATTTAGAATGTCTACTAAATAAATAAATAATAAAATAAAACCATACAAAGTAATTAAGAAAAAGGCATATCATACACACATTCATTACCGATTCACAAATTATACGGTTTTCTTTTAAAATACACCCACACATAATAGAGTTTTTTTCTCCAATATTGAACGGGCTTACTCTCGGCCCGATTCAAATCCTCCCATTCATTATCGGGCCGAGATGTAGGGCCCGGCGGAATTTCACCTTTCATCGTCTAAACAAAATATATATATATATGATACACACAAATATATATATATATATATATATACGGAGATTGTTTGAGGATTATTTATGATATATATATGAGGCACGTGCATTGCATGCATGGATGTAATAAATACGTAGATTGAGAGATATTAATGAGCGCCGCCCGGTAATTTATGACAGAGAGATGCGTCGACGGCGTCGGCTCCGGACACGAATATCCAATCATTCCCAATCTTATCCACAAATTTTGCTGCCCTCATTTTGTTCAGTACTTGCCACTTAGGGTTCACTACTCCCACCTGCATTACAAATAAGGCTACAAAAAATAAATAGGAAGTTTTATATTGTTTTTAGATATGTTTGACAAGTATTTTGAAATTTTAGATTAACTTCAACATAAAAAAAAATTAAATATATATGTAATGTGACCTAAATAAATTTTGGATGTCTAGATATATATATACAGGGTCGTCTTGGACTTTTTTGAGGCCCTGAAGGAAAATAAATTATAGGTCCTTCTATAAACACATGATTAAAATGTGTTTTCAAAATAATATTACCGATTGGCATCAATTGGATAAAAAGGTTCAACGTGACGGTTTGAACAATGTCAATTTGAGAAAAGAAGATGAAAGACAGTCTATCCGAAAGTTCGAAAAGCAAGAAGGACTAAAGGAGGGTAAAAAAGATAAAGAGAAAATGTGAGGCGGGTGAGACTTGATTAGAAAGAAAAAGATAAAAAAATATATATGATTAGAGTTTAAAATTTAATTTTAAAATTTAATTCGATAATTATGAAGAAAAAAATATAAACTAAAAGATAAAATTTAATTTTAAAATTTAATAATAATAATAGATAATATTTTAAAAGCTGACCCTTTATTAATTAGGGGCTCGAGCAGTTGCTCACTCTGCTCCTGCTATGAGCCGCTCCTATGTATATACTTCTCGGTTCCAAAATAATAGGAGCATTTGAGATGGACAGGAGAATTAAGGAATAATAGTATTATATTGATAGCTAACGGATTGTAAAAGTGTTTCTAAAAAACAAAAATGCCCTTATTTTATGTAGTTATTATAAAAATGTAGGAATAGTTTTGTAGAAAAAGTGGAGAGTTAGTTACCAAAAATAGAAATATAATTATTATTTTAAGACGGACGAAAATGGCACAACGAGACTATATTATTTTTCTTTCTTTTCTATTTTCTTTGTTATTATTAATACAATTTTTTTTTATTTACAAAGTTTTACCCTTTTTTTTAATCATTTTAAATACAATTTATAAAATCATATCACCTAAACTCATACTTCATCCTTAATGTAAATTTATGCTCATTTAACTGGTCACGAATTTAAAAAGAAAATAAATAAGGAATAATTTTTTTTTAATAATATAGAAAAAGTAAAAAAAAAATGATATGTGTGTACTAAAAGGGAAAAAGGGAAGTTTAAATGACAAAAAAAAATTAAAAATAAATTTAAATGATAAAGAAAGTATCAAATTTTTGTAATTATTAAAATTATATGAAAAGTAAAACAAGACTAACCTGTATGCCTTGGGCAGACAGCTTTTGATGCACTTCTACCATTGTGTAGAGACCAGATGTGTCCATATTCATTACATCTGTAAATTTATATTCGATATTTATTTTTATTTAAAATATTATATAAAAAAATATTTAATTTTAAATTAAAATAATAGAAAGATATCCAAAAATACAAACAAGTATGCTCATTTATGTTTTCGATATTATTTTCTATATATATATATATATATAATTTACTCAATCCTTATTTTATACATACGGAAAATTTACTTTTCATTTTAAAACAAAAAATCAAACCAAAATTTTGTTTGGTGAGTTGTGATGTTTTGGACAAGTAAAAATTTTGAAATAAAATAATTATTTGATGCGACATAAATAAATATTTGATGTAATATTTTAAATAAAAATAATTCTCTAAAGTAATATGTTAAATATATATGATTATATACTCTTTAGATAAATACTGTGTTATAAGATAACATATGTTAAATCACAATATAGTGTATGTTGTATTATAATTATGTATAAATATATGTTGGCCACCTCTGTAGTATATATGTTGATCCGAGTATCAACAACTGATACTCATATATATATATATATATATTGATGTTGAGTTTTATTTTGTACTCCCTCTATCCGGGAGGAATGCATGAATCATTTTATTAGGAACACAGTTTTTTAAGTAGCGTAGATTAGTAAGTTATTAATAATAAGTTATGATATTAATTTATTATTTTTTATATAAATAATATTATTGGTGTTTTAAAAAATTTTAAAATTATATCTCGAAAAAATATATGCAATATGATATCATTATGTAGATAATAAAATTCTGTATAATACAAATAAATTTTAAAAAAAAACATTTTTATTTATTTATCATTACCATAAATTAGTTTTATAAAAATGAGGAGTTTTAAATATAGATAAAAAAATTATATTAATTGAAGAGATAGAGAAATAAAGGGATTTTTGAGTGAATCCTACGTGTAAGATCTCAGAAGTTTAATTAAATTGATTTATATTTGTTAAGTATATTTAATATTGATAAAATTACTATAAAAATAGAAATTGATCATCTTTTGTGGGACGTACAAAAAAGAAAAATTGATCATTTGTGGCGAGACGTTGGAGTATTTTAATTATATAATTTGATAATCACAAAAATTATACAATAAAAAATTAAAAAATTAAAAGAGAATAGAGTGGTTACTTGTCATGTCAAGAACCAAAACATGAAGTCCCCCTTTGCTGCCTTTCTCAATATCCTCTTTCTCATCTTCCACACATCTAAGTATCCTGTCCCAATACAATTCATGTCTCCTTATTACATACACATTTCCATATATATATATATATATAATTAATTAAAATTATACACAACATATCGTAGAATTTCAGGAGAAAATAATTATACATCCGTACAAAATTAAATATATATATGATTAAAATATCTCTATTTTATTTTATTTTTTCAAATATAGCTCGAGTGATTTTTCGTACCTTTCTCGGATGAAACTGGCATTTGCAAAGCAAAGAGCAGCGGAATTTATCCGCAAGATTAAAATGCCGGACACAGTTGTGGCCATCGGGTAGCGGACAACGCTGCAAAAGACATCGGTGCCGGGAAGCCGACCAAGAACTTCTGTACTAGGTTTTAAGGATGTCACAATTATGTTCCCAAATGAGATCACCACCTGAAATTTCATACACGCAAATTTAACCTTTTGCGCTCAATTGGGGGTTTACTCAATACGTACTAAAAAATAGCGACTGTCTATTTCCATGTGATATATATATAATAGCGATTATGGTGTTAAATTTTAAAATTCAGCATCGTGGTGACAACGTATCGTGTACTAACATATACGATATTACTACAAACAACAGTGCTCATATTACTACTTTCACAAATATATAGATATATATATATATCTCCATAATATTAAAATAATAATAATAATAATGTGAATTGATTAAAGATTAACTAGGAAAAAAAAAATGATCACAATAAAATTATTTTTAACAAAATAGAACTTTAAAAATTGTTGATGAGAGCTTGAAAAAATTTACATACCGTTGATTTGGTTTATAAATATTTGATCTTTTCTTCTGTAAATTAAATTATGGGATTGTTCTTTTTATGTTTTTATTCTCTATTTTTTATTAGTTAATTTTTTTAATTTTTTTTTTTCAAAAATAGCACACGTAATATATACTTTTCTTATAAAATATTACACTAAATAATTTTTGACATAAAAAACTAATTAAAATAAATAAATAAATAAATCTATTCATTTTATTATTTTCCACGGTCCACAAACAATATATACATTTTATTATTTTCCACGGTCCACAAACAATATATACACTTCCTAATTAAGTATATATAGTCTCATCACAAATAATAAAATAAGCTTATATAATTACCAAGATACTATTATTATACGTTATAACATATTTATTATATTTTCAAATTCAATTTAGTTAATAAATTCACTAAGTATTATTCCTCCGTTCACAAACTAATGTCCTACTTTCCTATTTGAGACGTCCAATAACTATTGTCTTATTTTCTTTTTTAAACATAGATTTTACATTTTTACCCTTCATTCATTTATTACTTTTAATTTCTACCATACAATTAAGGGCAAATTTGTCAATTCATAACAAAAAAACAATCGCTTAAAAAATGGTGCAAATATACTTTAGAACAATAGAAATTTGACGGATGGAGTAATATTTTTATATCTAAAGTTGTGGACAAAGGCAACATTATTGACATGTATTCTTACTCACTATATGTCTCTCTTATTTTGAAGTTTAGATTAAGTATGTAAATATAAAAATATCGCCATTTTTCTTACAAAATATTATATTCTAAAATATTTTTTGGAAAAAAAAAAAAAAAAAAAAAGCTAAACAAACGATCAAGAGAGCACACATATGTATGTTATCACAAAAATGAAAAAAAAAAATTAATTAATTAAAAATTAGGATAATAAATATGGTTACCGCAACGACGAGGCCAATCTCGACAGATCCGAATAAGACACCGAGGAAGGCGGCCGCACAGACAAGGAAGTCGAGTTTATCGACTTTCCAAATGTTGTAAGCTTCGTGCCAGTCGACAAGTGCAGGCAATGCCGACATGATAATAGAGGCAAGAATGGCGATAGGCGTGTAATACAAAAGCCGAGTAAAGAACTGAAGGCATATGAGCACTGTCGTCGCCATTACAATGTTAGAAACGACGGTCTCGCATCCGGCACTGTAGTTCACCGCGGTTCTTGAAAATGAACCTGCATTTTGTACATTTGATCTCAATTTATAAGTTTTTTTTTATCTTTTACTTTATTTATTTCAAATTGTATTGAAAATTGACTTTATTGATTAATTAATAAAGTGTCAAAAATTTCAAAATAATCTTAATTTTTATTTTAAAATCTTGAAATTAAATTTAGAATGGATACAAATTGAAAAAAATCTATTTAATTGTATAGTTTTTCATGAATATAAATAAAACATTTAAAATGTGTAATATTTTGATTGAAAATTAAATCATTGAATGTACTTAAAAAAATCAATTTGTATTTTTATTTTTATTTTTATTGAAAAATTCAAATTAAATAATTATATAAATATATATATATATATATATTTTGAATACCTACCTGTGGCTGTATAGCAAGAAGTTAAAGAGCCAACAAGGTTCATAAACCCCATAGCAACCATTTCCTGGTTCCCTTCCAAATGGTATCTGTTAGAATTTGCAAAATTAAATATTTATATTAATAAGATTATTAAATTTTTATTTATAAATATAATACAGAACAAAACGGATAAATTTAAATAATAATATTATAAAACAAAATATAAAATATCTCAACAGTACCCTTTCATCGAAGCAAATGACCTTCCCACTGCAATAGCTTCCTGATCATTATCATACGTATCGAACAAATTAATATTGAATTAATCATTAGAATTAGGAATTAATGAATCAATTAAAAGCGGCCGAGTGTCAATTTGATCAAGTCAGCACATGTAATCAAGTAGATAATACATGTTTTTATATAGTACAACACAAAGTTGTATTATATAGAAACATATGTTGTCCAATTTTATATTTATATTATGTTGTATCGATATGTTTATTATGATGAAATTAATAAAATATTAAAACCACGTAGAATTATATAATGTGTTGTCTGTTATATGTTATAATTATATGGGCTTTTCTGTGGCTGCAGATTCTGTGTTGATCCGGCCAAATCAGTATGGTGGTTATTTGACTGGGTCAGCATATGTTGTATGATTAATTTTATACATATTTCTAACATATGCTTTGTTATAAGATAGCATATGCTCAGTTATAATATAATATATATTGTACTATAAATATGTTGAAATATGTATAAATATATATTAATCACCTCTATAGCATATGTTGATCCGGTCAAATCAACACCATATTGACTTAATCGGATTAGCCGATGATCCATGCCCAACCACTTTGATATATATATATATATATATATAGATGTAGATGTAGATAGAGTGAGAGACTGACAGTGAGTGCAATTAGGGCACAGATGAAGCCAATTTTGGCAGCTGCTCCGACATGGGATGCTCCGAAGTCGAGCTGGTCGACAGAAGATGGATTCAGACCACCTTTGAAGTGCTTCACAATCTTCACACCATGCCTGTCTGCTTTCGTCGCGTATGATATTACCGTCGCCAGCACCACCGATACAAGCGGCGCTATCGCCGGAACCCAAAACAGCTTCTTCTTCTTCCTTTGCCCCTGCATGTAAACAAATTACCAAATCGAATATTATTACTTATATTCCATTCAATCCCATTTATGTTTGTAAATGAATCAAATATTATCTAAAAATATTATATTTATGTTTAATTAATTATCGAATCCCAAATTTTTGAATATAAATATCAATTTTTTATTCGATTAATTTACAATTCTAATCTTATTCATATATATACAGTGAGAGCGAAATAATATATTATATTTAATACTCTCTCCGTCCTAATACTATTTTCTATTTTTGTCCTCCCAAAATAAGACATAATAAATACTTTTACAATTTACAATATATTACACAAATGTTTATATTAGCATTTTTGTCTTTTTTTTCTTTTTTTTTTAATTACAAATCAATATAATACTAATATTTAAAAATCTATGTGCAAAAAATAAATGGTGCTCTTGTTGCGAAACGGAGGTAGTATATTTTTTATTTAAAATATGACACTAATTTTATTTTATTTTTTTCAAAACATCATGCCTCAATTCTTTGTAAAAAGTACAAAAGGAATAAAACTAAATTTCTTGTACAAAAATAATATTAATTATTTCTTAATATACTATAAAAATAAAAAATAAATGAATATTTTGAACGAGGACGAAATGAGCATATAGAAACAAATAATTGTGTGACTTTGGACTTACAATGAAACGGGCGACGAGGATGAAGATGAGGAAGGAACAACCGAGGATCGCATTGAAAGGACTCCACTATCAAAATCACAAACACAATATTCACATTGTTTCGATAAATAATGAATTATCGCTCAACGTAATGTAATAAAAGAGCTAGGTTCAATTACTTGGTGATGGAGGGCTTCGACAACAGCCGAAAGAACAGAGACAACATCGGTATTTGTAGTAAAATGGTCGATCCCAAGCAAGCCCTTGAGCTGCTGCAGCCCTATTACAATGGCTGCTCCTCCCATGAACCCTACTATCGCGGCATGTGACAGAAAGTCGACCAGAAACCCCAACCTAAATCGAATTCAATTAATGCACGCCGAGTAAAATCTCATTAATTATATTAAAAATTGATTCGATTTGACTAGCTATGAGAAGATCCCCAATGCTTAAGGCATAAAGGGAAAGGTCATAAGCGTTTGTATCATCAAATTTATTTTTGATCGAACGAACATAAGATATTATGATCCAATCATAACCATATAAAGATATAATACATCACTTAGTACTTATTTTCACTGTCCTTTTTAGTTGTCTAAATTTATTTTTGTTTTTTTTTTTAATAAAAAAATAATGCACTATTTTTTTTATTTTTGTTTATCCTAAAAAGTAAAAAAAAAATTAATTTTACATATTTTTTTATAATTCATGTCCTATCAAATAAATATAGAATTAGATGTCATAAAAAGTATTTGAAAAAATAATAATAATAACAACAACGACGACAACAACTTGTAAATAATAAAGTATGGTTAAAAACCCACAAACAAACAAACAAAGTTCATGAATCATGAGGCTCTTCAATCATAAAATCACTCAAATGCTATATTATCTTTTCTTATAAAATATTATATTACATCCGTCCAACTCTAAGGGTCTCATTCATGATATTTGAATATTAATTATTATATCAAAATACAGTACAAATTAAGAAAACATTGCAAAAATATTTTCATTAGCGTCTTATAATACTAATAGAAGGACATTTGTACAAAAAATTTATAAAAATATAATGATATTTTTAATATTAAGTACAAAGACACAAAAGATAAATGTGACCCTTAGAAGCCGACGGATATAATATTAAATTACTACTTTAAAATTAAAACTAAACAAAAATAAATAATCAAGGACTAATATCTAACCTGAGTAGTCCAAATAGCAATTGGAAGGCACCAGCGAAGAAAGTGACGGTGAAAACAACGCGCCGATAAGTTGTGGGATCGACGGAGGGGTCGACCACTTTGGAAATCATAGCCGAGAGGAGTAACGAGACCACCGCCACCGGGCCAATGGCGATCTCTCTCGAAGTCCCCATTACAGCATATATTAGCGGTGGAACTACACTTGTGTCTGAAATTTTGATCGATAAGACATTATTAAAATCGTAGTAAATTCTTATCATTTCAGTTCTTTAATTTAACCAGATATTTTGTAGAAACAAGTCATATATCTTACAAGTCGTCGCTCCAATTGTTATATTGAATGTGATACTCGTATAAGTTATGTAAACTTAGTACATGTCACTTTCTATAAGTATGTGTGAGTATAATGTTAGGGTGTGTTTGTTTGGAGTTACAATTTGAATAGTAAAAATTTTGAATTTGAATAATATAAATAGGTATTGATGTAATGTTTTGAATGTAAAATTGATTTTTAGAATAATATATAAAATGAAAAATAGGTGTTTGATGTGATTTTTTTTTTGAAAATTTTTTGAATAAATAGTGAATTTTTTGCAAAATCTCTCAAACAAACACACCCTGTATTTATAATACCATTCAAGCACGGTAAGGTAAAGTTGGGATTATTTTCATATAAAATCTAACTTTTAAAAAGTAATATGCAAAACTTATGGTTTTGTTTAGGGCATGGATCAACATATGCTATAGGGGTGACCAACATATATTTATACATATTTCAGCATATTTATAATACAATATATAATATTATATTATAATTCATCATATATTATGTTATAACACATCATATACTGAGATATGTATAAATATATATTGGTCATCCATATGACATATGTTGATCCGGTCAAATCAATAATATGTCGATTTGACCAGATTAGCATAGGATTTTCAACCATTTGTTTAAATTGAAATTGTGATGTTATATATTTTGAAAAATCATTATAAATAAATAATGTTTATAGTTCCAAACATATATATATATATAGACCATATAATATTCCATAATTATATATATATATATATATATATATGCACTTACACAAGCCATATTGTGGATCCAACTTTGCCAGATTTGCATAGCCTATACTCTGCAAAATGAGAAATCATGTTTTAAATTTAAATTTAAATTTTTAAAAATAAATATAAATTTTAGATGTAGGAAAAATTAAATTTAAATTTAAATTTTTAAAAATAAATATAAATTTTAGATGTAGGAAAAATTATTTAAGTGCTTTTGGGTTGAATAATAATTTGAATTTGATATTTTGTGAGATAAAAAATTTACATAGTAATTTGTATTTAATTATTTTTTTATTTTTTTATCATGTACTAATTTTATTAAACTTTATTACTACTATTTTAAATTGATTACTAAATAAAAGCTTTTTGAGTAATAAGAAAAACACAAATTTGTAAAATAATTTATTAAATTGATAATTGATCTAAATTATATATCATGTTTTAAATAGTTAAAAATAATGCTAGATGTAATATTTAAATATATATATATATATTACATATAAATACCAAAAATAAAATAATGTAAAAGAAGTTTGTATATAATTAATTCTTCTACACATGCTAATAGCATATTTACTTTTAGATATGATATTTACTTTACTTTGTTATTATTGTATTAATTTATATGATTATACATTTTGTACTAAATGGTTAGATAAAAAAAAAGTAATTCCTAATATTACAATTAAAGTTTTTAACTCTATTATTTTATGTAAAATTGCTCTAATTGGATTTTATTATCATGCTTAACCCTTATGTGGAATATATTCGTTTTGAAGATTGTCACGAGTTCAATTTTTCATTTTTTTTCTCCTTCCGTCACATAACTAGAAATCTATTTGTTTTTTGCACGTAATTTTAGAAATATTAGTATTATATTAGGATGTAGTATGAATAAAATAGAAAAGACTAAAATAACTTTATTAGTACGTGTGATATAAAGGTAATGGATTGTAAGTAATTTTTGAGTATGCAACCATTATTATAAGTAAAAGGTTAAAATTAAGCAAAAGGTTAAAAAAATTATAAGTAATTTTTTAGTATGCAACCATTATTATCCATTACTAAAAATAAATAAATAAATAAACCTATAATTATGTTAGTAATTATCATATTTAATTCTTATTTAAATCAAAATAAATGAATAATAATAATCCATTTAATATTATTGTACATTAATTTTAAAATATTAATATTCTATATATATATATATATCTAATACAATTAATATAATGGATGAATATATCATTTTACCTCTATAGATATTTTGTAACCTAAATGCATCTTTGTAATAATAAATAAGATGTATAAATTATATATATATATATATATATACATTAAGACCATAATTTCCAAATAACTAAATTAATAAATTGATTTTGACATTAAAAAAATAATAATAATAGAATAGAAAAAAGATAGGGAATGGATAAATTAAATAGTAAGTAAAATGTCTTCAAAATCTACTCCCAAGTCCCAACATCAGCAAAAAAATTTGGAGTTGGCACGAATATTAAAAAAATAAATATTTTACTAAAAGAAAATGTTATAAATTTTGTTAGTAATTAAAGGAACTTGAGAAATAATGTAATAAAAATAATGATAATTATGATAAATAAGTGTCGAATAAATAATAATATTTAAAAAAAATGAATATTTGACTTTATCAAAACTACCTATTAAATAAATTTAAAGGACTGACAAAAAAATAAAAATAAAAATATATTTGAAGGACGAAAATAGTAATAATTAATAAGACAACTAACCTGAGGAATGCATAGGCTTGCAAGAGTTAAGCCTGCAAGGAGATCGTTCTTAAACTTGGCGGCTTTGTAATGTTTCCCCCATTCCAAAATTGGAAATATTCCTTTTAAGAACTTAACACTTCGATTCGGCCAACGTTGTTTCTTCGACTCCGGCGGAGGCAAGATTACCCCCTTCACCGTGCCGATCACGTGCCGCCAAAACGGCGGCGTTTCCGGAGCGGACAACAACCATTTTGTCCTCTCCACTCTCTCGGCGCCGGCGACGTCGCCGCCGCCGTCGGGCTTCGGAGCCTCCATTGCGCCGGCGAGGGTTTTTTTGAAGCGTTTGGCAGAACTATGGTAGGTTATTTTGCGAGAGGGCTTGCTGCAGCTTTATATATATATATATATATATAGTTATGTACGTCTGCCATTTCGCAAGGGCGCATCTAAGACGTCGATTTTGTGGGGGCCTTCAATCAACGGTGTGGATGGATTCGGGTGCTGAGGACCCGGGACTTCCTTAAAAGAAAGTCGGATTCCACGAATATTGTAACTCATCAATTTTATTTATCTAATTTTAACTCTAAATATTTGCAGTTGCTATGGTAATTTTATTTCAATCATAATTTCATTTTTCACTATTATTCTTCAAATATTTAATTTTTCCTATTATTTTAAACAATTTTTTATTTTTATAATTTAAAATAATTTTTTTTTAATTTAGAAGAAAAAAATTAAAAATTTAAAATTTAAAAAAATAAAAAAAAAATGACGCACAATTTGGCGTCGATTGGAGACAATACTATCAAAATTATGATGCTGGGTTGGAGACGGCCTAAACAACACTATCAAAATTTTAAATAGCATGTAATCACTTTATTCTTCCATATTTTTTTTATTTTTTTTATTGTTATTCTTTCAAAATAATAACAAAAAATTATAAATATTTTATATAAAATTTAAAAAATAAAAAACTTTAAATACTTATTACAATAAAAGTAAAAAATCATTTGTTGTATTTGCTTGTGAGATTTTGGTTTTGAATAGTAAAATTTTGAATTGAAATAGTAGTTTAATGTAATCTTTTGAATGTAAATTAAAATTTAATTTTAGTATAATATAATAAATAAAAAAATAGATGTTTGATTTGATATTTTTTTTAAAAAAAAACAAATCAAAATAGTAAAACGAAAAAACAAATCTCACGAATAAACACATGCATTGTATCTAAGAACACTAGGTGAACAAACCCAATTATATTATGTGAAATAAGAACTTATATTATATTTAAAAAAGTATATTTTTCAAACTCTCAAACTCTATTTTCTAAAGTATAGAATTTATGTTATTTTGAAATTTTATCACTATGTCATATGTTTTACCGTATTATATTATGTGTGTTTCGTTATTATTTTATTTTTATATTATATTAATATAAATGATGTGCTACATAGACTATTCACCAGTGCTATTTCAAAAAATTAGCAAAACCAGCATAATAACTAAATTGATATACTCCCTCCGTCCGTTTACCATTTTTTATTCATTCCAAAATAATAGTCTCATTTTCATAAATAATCATATCACTATAAAACTATCATTATTTTTTCATTATTATTACACAATTACCACTATACATTCACAAGGGCAAAAAAATTTTTTATCCATATTTTTTATTCATTACCAATATAATATCAATATTTATTAAATCTGTATCAAACACAATTCAAACTATAGTTCTGGAACGGAGGGAATATTATATACTTCGTCCTCCTTCTAAAATGTATTTATTAATATCATTTTAATTTGTTTCTTCGTACCATTTTTAATAAAAAGTACATTATTTTACATCTTTAACCTCTTTTTTTTTCATTTGTTTATCTAATTGAAATTGATAGAAATATTTATAAACACTTAATGTATTTTAATTAAAATTTGATATTACTAATATTAGAAAAAAAAAATTGTTATTATAAAATATTCATATCCAAAATTTTAATTCGCATTTTGACGAAAGTCTAATTTTAACGATAGAGTAGATTGTATAGAGAATCCTTGTAAAATGTTTGAAAGTATTTTATGCGTCAGTAATGCCACGTGTCTTGTACAATAATAACAGAATCACAGTAGTCCACTTTCTTCCAGAGCGCTGATCAACTGTATTCGCGAAGTTCATTAACTCCACTGTATCTGGATGGGAAGACGTCCAGGTACATGACAATGCACTTTGCTTTTACTGGTCTCTGATTTCTATGTAGTTACTATATTGACCCCAAAAAATAATTAATTTTTTGTTTTATTTTTATTTTTATTATTATGTTCAATAAGTTATTATTATTATTATTATTATTATTATTATGTAGTTATTACTCCCTCCGTCCCATCTAATATGAGTCTATTACTGTAGATACGAGAATTTAGATAAAGTATAATTAGTAAGCAATTAAGAAATGTATTAGTAAAAATACTTATTATTTACTAAAAATAATTATAGATTAAGATTAAGATAACTAAATAGTTTAATTAAGATTAAAAAAATTTAAATTTTAAATTTTAAAATATGATTAAAGTGTATAATTAATTTTTCAAAAAAGAAAATGACAAATTATGTGGGACTGAGGGAGTATTATTTTAATTATTAATTATTATATTGACCCAAAAAAAGGTATAGTTCAATAAGTTAATAATTGTAATATATGATATAATTTTATTATTTTTATTGAATTTTTTTTATTTGTTTTAATTCATTGTGCTTTTTATTTTTATAATAAATTTAAAATAATAATATTTTATTAATTGTAAGATAATTTTATCTTTAAAATTACAAAAAAACGTTAAATTTGTTTATAAAGATTAAAGATAATTTTGTATTTAGATATAATACTTTTATTATAATTAAAAATAAATATTCCCTCCGTTCCAAAATAGTTGTCTTGTTTTTTCCATTTTCTTGCCTCCATCCGTCCTACTTTTCCAAACTATCTTAATTATTACTCTAATCTACTTTTAAAAATCCTTCAAAAGTAAAGGCATTTTAGTCTTTTACATTCTACGTTATACGTTTTTTAGACTGAGGGAATATTTTTTAGAATATTTTTTAGTATAACATACAATGATATTATATTGAATTGAGATGGAACGAATATACTTTCTCCGTTCACTTCATATGAGACAAACTAAAAACACTTGTAATTGTATGTTTATAATTTAAATAAAAATAAGAATATTTTGGTATATTAAAATGAATATTTATTAATGAGACAAACTAAAATGATAAAACTAAATATTTTTAAATAAGACAAATTAAAATGATTAAAATGATACTTTGAATTGTATTAAAAAAATATATATAAATTTATAATACATAGCATTTAGCATACTCCGTCCCATAATAAACTATTCATTTACTATTTACCTAATATTACAAATATCCTTATAATTTACAATATCTTACACAAATCAGTAGGGATGGCAAATGGGGTGGGTTAGCCCCGGACCCGGTTTTAATGGGGCGAGTTCGGGTCTAAAAAATTTGGTTCGGGGCAGATTGTGGATTTTGAGTTTTAGACCGGGGCGGGTTACAGGTTTTACTATAAACCCGCTCCACCCCAGACCCGAACCCGAACCTGGATATTTTAATAATTATTATAATTTATTTTTATTTTTATACAATATAAATTATATTATTTATTTATTTAAAAATTTTAAATATAAAATATAACTTTAATTTTAAATCAAATTTATCTTCCTATTTGTTTCTCCTACAATATTTGATTGTAGGAGAAAAAAAGTGACCGGATTCGGGGCGGGACGGGTCATGGGGCCAGGTTGAAGCGGGGCAGGGCGGGTCTTGGGTCTTAATATTTTCTAGCGGGGCGGATCCCGGGGTCTGCAAAACTGGTCTCGAACCCACCCCATTGACATCTCTACACAAATATCATTACATCTATATTACTTAGTAATTTCTATTTTATGTTACTAAACTCCATACAAAAAGCAAAAGAATACGTAGTTATGGGACGAATGGAGTATTTATAACATATTAAATTAAATACTAGTATGTAATCTGAATTTATTCTCTATTTTTTTTTTATTATCATCAAAATTTATTCTTTTTTCAAATTTATTGAAAAAATATCATTTCTTCTACATTTTTTATATAAAAATAAAAATAAAAAAAAAAAACTCTATTTTTATCTATTTTTTTAAAATACGTATTCGATTAAATATGCATAAGTTTACATTCAAATTTTTAGCACCAACCTCCAAAATATTTAACTAGCCTAATTAATTTTACAATAATTATCTCCACTCAGCTAACCCACAAATCATTACAAAGTAGAATACATAAAGCATTCACTACACTACAGATTCATTGAATCTGGACGCAATTCGGGTATTACCCGACGAAGCATCTGATTTCATTTCCATCGCCTTCCTCTCTCTCCACTCTAGGGTTTTGACTGACTGTTCGATCGCCAGCGCCATTAGCCGTGCGGTTCCAAAAGGCAAAAGAAAACCAAAAAGGTAACGTCATTGCTGGATTTGATCTACCATCAATTTTGGATATTGGCGCATTTTGTCCAACAGTATTAGAATATTTGTAACACTGTTTTGCCCTGCCTTCCTTTGTGTTATCCGTTGCTAGCGGAGTGGAGAGTGGGGCATATCTTCTGCAGCACTATCGATGGCGTTTGGGAACTGAGGTGAGACGTTGCACTTTATGCACTTTCGAATATATTCTTCCCCAAATCAATTTTTAATTATTGCTTTTTCCTTTCTTTTTAATATTTTTGTCGAATTTTAATTCATGGATGCACTCGCCTGTATTCCTAATTGTGCGTTGAATCCGTGCTTGAGTGCACTCGATAGTCAATACATGAAGTCGCTGTGGATTATGCTTGAGGTTGTTGTTCGTTATCGGCAGCTGTAGAACGTGATATTTATTAATTTTTGAATGAATGGTGTGAACACAAAAATTCATTGTAAAAAGCTTTAGGAACTCTTAAGAAAGTAGTATGATAGTATCAAAACAATGATTTTTGCTTGAGTACTGCACTCTATAGTCAATATTTGAAGTCACTGCGTGGATTGTGCTTGAGGTTGTTCTTTATCAGCATCTGTAGAACATAATATTTATGAAATTTGAATGAATGAGTGAAACAAATCCATTGTTAGAAGGTTTAGAAACTCTTAAGAAAGTAGTATGATAATGTCGAACCAATGATTTGTACTTGAGTGCACTCGATAGTCAATATTTGAAGTCGCTGTGTGGATTGTGCTTGGGTTGTTGTTCCTTATCAGCATCTGTAGAACATGATATTTATGAATTTTTGAATGAATGATTTGTTCCAAATCCATTGTTAGGAGCTTTAGAAGCTCTTAAGAAAGTAATATGATAATATCAAACCAATGATTTGTGCTAATTACTTTTACTTGTGTTACAATATTGAAACTCTGGATATGTATTGGCCGACTAGTTTGAACAATGTTACATACTCTGTAGTTAATCACTTTCTCTGATGGTGATCATATAGGGTGGGCTGCTGTAGATTTATTACATGCGGGCACGGGATTAGTAGTCGTAGATAGTGGTGTCACATACAGCACGCCATTGGCGAGGGCGAGAGTTGAGTTTAGGCAGAGTTTAAATGTGAGTTATGACGGGATTGTGTAGCATAAAAGGGAAATATTAGTGCTACTCGTAGTGAAGCATTTGGCAATATTTACATATGATATTGAATTATTGGATTTACTTACGTATGATATTGAATTATTGTGAAAATGACTTTAAAAAAAATCGTAGGTATCCACTTGTGATTTGCATATACAATAAAAAGGAAAAGAAAATAAATGAATCAAATAAATATAGATGTTTACCCAAATATAGTGAAGTTCTTAGGGTGTGTTCTTTTAAGTTTTGGATTTGGATTGTAGGATAAGTGTTTTATATGATGTTTTGTATAGAAAATTTCTATTTTTGATAATATAATAAATTAAAAGTGTTTGATTTGATAGTTATGAAGGGTTTTTTTTTTTTTTTTTTTTTCATGAATAGTGTGAGAAACCTTAAAGAAACTTAATCTTAGAGATTTAACATTTGGTACCTTATAAGTAGAGCTGTTATGTGAACCCATCTACTTGAAAGCTAAACATATTCAGGCTTGAGCTCGGCTAGAGCATGCTTAACAAGCTGAGGTTGAGCTCGAAAAAAAATTCAAATAATCATCGAGTCTAGTAGGCTTAGCTCAACAAGGCTAGCCAAAATAATAAATTTATATTTTTACTAAAAATCTTATACATAATAAATAAAACTCTAGCTCTAGCTTGATCCAGAAAAAAATAATATTAATTAGCTTGATCTTGGGCTTGTTTATAAAATTATCAAACTTGAGCTCAACTCGATAAAAACTTAAGTCGAGTTTGAAAATGAAATGCTCGGCTTGGCTCGAATAACAGCCATACTTCCAAGGCAGGGAGTTGCTCTTTGAATGTTGAAGCTAAGAAGTTGTTTTCGAACAAGTATTGTCTGAGTAGATAGTCATATTCATTTTGAATGTGACGTCAAAAGTTATGCAAGTGGAAAGCCAGCCAGTGCACTAATTTAACCTCCTTTTGGCTACTAGAGATACATAAAATTTAACTAACAAAAGAATACTCCAATTGTCACCTAAATCTATTCTCCTATTCTTGACAAATATAATCTCTTTTATTATTCTAAGCGATTATTCTCTTTTAGGTGATAGAGAACTTGTTGTTCTTAACTCGTGGGCTCAGGAATTCCTATATAACTTAAGTAATACAGTAAATGGGTTGTCATAAAAAAGAAAAATATTCTCATTTTTTTTAGTAAAAAAATTATACTCCATCCATCCGCCTTTAAGAGTCACATTTACCTCATTATATTTGTATAATTTTTTATACAAATGTCATTTCTGTTAATATTATAAGACACTAATGGAAGTATTTTTGCAATTTTTTCTTAATGGGTACTACGTTTTGATATAATAATTAATATTCAAAGATCAACATGCAAATGCAAAAAGTAAATGAGACCCTTAGAACCGGATGAATGTAATATTACTTTTTTTATAAAAAAATATTTACAATAAAAGGCAAAAATATACATATCTATGTTAAAATTTGTGCTCAAAAGTTCAAGCACACATTTGGACACGGAGAAAGTCATAAAGTATTTCAAATGAAAAGGAAAAACTAAAATTGAAGATTTTTTGGCTTGCCGTCGTTGATCTCAATAAGAATAGTTTGAAACTTATTGCCGATATATCTTGATAATTAAGATGTGGCTTCTTGGGTGTAATTGATCTTTTCATGTGGCTACATAAGTGTAGACTTGCATATATGCTTCTTACTCCTTTCCATAGATTCAATGGTCTTGGGATTTTAGGTGAGATTTTAAGCATATTAGAAAGGCCTCAAAGGGTTATTGACGAAACTATGTGTTTGGATATGCTTTCGAAGCACTCCGGAGTTTTTGGTTGGTTTGAAAATAGCAAAAAGTAGAATATAAAATAAGTGTTTCATGTGACATAAGGAAGTGTTGGAAACAATAATCTTAACAGAGAATAGTAAGTCTTTAACGTAATATTTTAAATAAGAATAGTTCGAAAACAAGTTTGAACACGTAAGTAGAGAGAGTGGCAAGAGAAATCAATAATTGGAGTATGCTATGTTAATTGTCTACCATGGAATCGTAGAATTTGGTCGTCAAAGCTGTGTTCCATCGAATTGTGTGTGTCAGTCAACTTTCCATGTGGCTTGATGTGCGTCAATGTTGTTATGGACGACTTTTGTGATTAGTGCTGCAGGTGATTCCATAATTATCGAAGGATTCCTGTCTCTTTGGGACCCTTTTTCCAATTTATGTGGTGCCGGCACATTATATGTCTTCTCTACTCGATCCACATCCCCGGTTGTGATCCTTGATCGTTCTTGTCTTGTTCCCATCGTCATTGTGTGGACTACTCTCAGTTGACTGTGTGTGTGCATTCGCAGATAGATTCTCCCCACAGACCTTTTAGTCGAGGTATATCCACATGGCTTTCCTTTATTGGTTTGTTCTTATGAATTCCTTGTCGAATATATATGAGGATAGCGATAACTATAATCAAACTAGGTGCAAGAAATTTGCTTCAGCTGATGAAACATGGTGTCATTCTCTGTGTGTTATTCTCTTGACTTTAATAGATAATATAGCTTTGTCGATGGATGATGAATAGTGAATCTTGTCTTCTATTGTATGATGTATGTAATATTTTCCAAGTATATCGGGAAACTAAGCCGTACGCCAATACACTTGGAATGTTCATCGCGCATGTATTATACTCAAATGTGAATAGCTGCATAACTTAATTTATTGAAAAAGAATTTTTGGAATTTATATTAAAAACAAAATAGGTAAAGTTATAAGAACAAAAATGTTATGTCCATGTTGTTAACAAAACGGAGAAACCTAAATAAACAGAAAGTTGGTATGAGCGGGTATTGCATAATTTTTACTTATTTATTTCTATGATGTGAGAATCTGCAACCATATAAATTTTCAAAATTGTTCTTGACGAGGTAAAGCCAATGGCAGCAGTGGCTGGTCTATAGATTATACTCCCTCCGTCACAAAGTAATATTTTATTTTCTTATTTAAAATATTCAACAACTATTATTTTATTTTTAAAAATATATATATATATAAATTTTACTTTCTCTTCATTAATTTACCATTTTTTAACTTTTTTCTTAATGTAAAGGATAAAATTGTCAATTCATAATTAAAAAAATAATAATAATTATAAAAAAATTGTACATCTATATATTTTAAAACAATAAAAATTAAAATTAGAGTTGACTACCAAAACACAAACAAAAGCACCTCCAAAGTCACGTCCATTAATCTCATAATTCCAAGACACATTAAAATGGATGAATGCAAATTTAAAAGTATCCTTCCTCTCTCCTATGTACACTCACAAATCAACTAGACTTCACAATGTTAAACTTATCTTTCTTTCCTTCTCCCTCAATCCTTAACACAATTTATCCAAACAAAAAATATACATACACATACATACATACATAATTTAAAAATAAATCTAAAAAATAAAATTTTTTTTTTAAAAAAGAAAAAAGGTAAAGTAAAATTATTCTCCTCCATAGAAGACGCTCTCTTACCTTGGCCCAGATAACTCAACAGCATGTAAATTCTCGGTGGAATCGACAATCCAGTCGGAGCCCGGGTGCGGCACCAGCTCCACTTCCTGCCGGAGCACCTCCACCTTCTGCCACTCGTCCCATCTCTCCGCCAGGCCCTCCCCTTCCAGCATCCGCACCACATCCGACATCTTCGGCCTGTCCATGGGCGAGCTCTGCGTGCACAGCAGCGCCACCTGTATCAGCTGCTCCACTTCCGCTTCTATATACTCCTTCTTCAGATCCGGGTCGACCAACATCTCCAGCTTTTTCTCTTTCAGAAGCCCTTTAACCTAAAACAAGACCGCCAATAATTCGCTTCTTCAAGTTCGACACAATTTTGACACTAGTCAGCATCAAGAATACAAATGGAGCCTAGTAGTGTAAGCGCACCGCATCTCCGGCACAATAAAAATAAGATGTCATTTTAGGTATGTTTCTTTTGAATTTTTTCCCCCCATTTTTTTACTATTTCAACTCCACAAAATACACTATTCTTTAAAAAAACATATATCAGATCAAATATTATTTAAATAAAAAATCCAAACCTCCAAACTCGATCCAAACTAAAAAGAAACGCACCATTTAGTTCTTTAAGTAGCATCTTTTGTAAGCATATGTGAGTGTCACGTGCAAAATGCAAATACAAAGACGACACATAAACGAGTCAAATACAAAACTAAACTTATATCTTTCCCGTACGGTAAAAATAGGTAAAACTATAATTTTGATCATTTAAGTAGAGGACAATTTACTATTATTTTGATTTTTCAATAGACCTAGAGGGTTCATGCGTAGATACGAGTTCATTTAAACCCGATAATAAGTGAGATATAGGACTATTTCTATACCTATGCAACTTAAATGAGTAGAATAATAATAGATCCTACCTACATCGCCAAATCTATAATTCTACCGTAATTTACGTAGGACGCTTTATTATTTCGATATTCAATAGACCTAGAGGGTTCATGTGTAGATATACAAGATTATTTAAACGATAATAAGTGAGATATAAAAGTATCTCCACACTTGTGCAACTTAAACAACTGAAATAATAAGAGATTCTACCTACATGGCCAAAATTATATTTTTACCTTAAAAGCAACATTTGCTAAAGAAATTTTCGAAAAAAAAACTCCAAAATCCGAAGGGAGAGGTAAACAGCACTATTTTTAAAAGCAATGTAAAGATATCGCTTACCCAATCGAGTAACATGACATCGTCGTCATTTGCAAGGCGAGCAAGGTCGAAAGCCCTCTGTCCGGTTATCAGCTCGAGAAGCATAATTCCATACCCGAAAACATCAGTTTTCTCGGAGGATTTTCCAGTGGACAAGTACTCGGGGGCAATGTGTCCTATAGTACCGCGGACAGCGGTGGTCACATGAGTGTCCTTGTAATCCATTAGCTTGGCCAAACCGAAATCCCCCACAACAGCCTCGAACTCTTCATCGAGCAATATGTTTGCAGCTTTGACGTCGCGGTGTATAATCTTTGGGTCGCAGTGATCATGCAAGTAAGATAATCCCCGGGCGGATCCCAGAGCTATGCGCTTCCTCGTTGGCCAGTCGAGTGGCGGCTCATTTGGCGGTCGTTCTGCAATTTTTGAATACGTGTTTAATAATCGAGGCACAATCCGCAGCAATATACTAAAAAGTCTAAAATAGGACACCCCGAGCACATTTGTAAAGAAAGCATCACCTCGTAAGCATGAAGCAACGCTTCCATTAGCCATGTAAGGATAGACGAGCAACCGTTCTGTAGGGGTCATGCAGAAGCCGCGCAGTCGAAGAAGATTACGGTGCACAGCCATACTGATCATCTCGACCTCCGTTTGAAACTGGAGCTCTCCGCCAGGCGTTCGCTCCTCTTTAAGTCTTTTGACCGCGACCAGCGAACCGTCCGTCAGCCGCCCTTTGTACACCTTCCCAAAGCCGCCTCTCCCCAGAATGTTTTTGTTGCTGAAACTATCGGTTGCGACTTGCAACTCTCGGAGCGAGAATCTTTTTAGCTGGCCTAGATGAAGTTCGGGATCCTCTTCAGCTGCAAATTTAGATGAGATACAGCAGTTACGAACAAGGAAAAGAACACGAAATTGACCAGATTGACGTTATACGAACCTGGTACATCAAAGAAAAACTCCTGGGGTTTTCTCCGGCGCCACCAAGCAAATGCAATGGCCGGAGCCGCAAATAGCAAAGCGGCGCCAGCAGCAACACCTCCAGCAATGGCTCCAGTCGCGCTAGCTCCCTCTAGAGGCATTTTACATGACATTAATGGAATGTAATTGAATAGATATTGATCCCACAGATACTATGAAGACACGATTAAATAGAACAAACAAGGTTTACTTCTGAGATGACGGGATTTTTTTTACAAATTTTTATTAATTTATACAAGGATTATAAATTTGAGCTAAGGCCTAAAAGAATTTGGAATCAAGTGTTGTTCTTCGAAAATCCACTTCTAGATTCAAATAACAAATGGCATTTGTAAACGAGTATATATAGGATGAATTGTTCCGCTTCTTGGGAACATAAGCTCAGCTTCGAAAAGCATATGAGCTACCAACTATACCAAATACTTAAAAAGATATTAAACTCAAAAACACCTGTGTTTGTAACTGGGGGCGGTGGAAGGAAAGGAGGGGGCGGAGAGAATGGGGGAGATCCCGGGCATGGATGTCCAGTGACTGGGCCGCATAGATCCAAGTTGTTTGCAAAGCTGCAAATACGCCAATCATGTATGTTAGACGCTAATCAAAACAAACAAGGTTTCCACTTGAATCCATGGTCGTTGCCTTATACCTTATAGGTGTAAACAAAGAAAAGGAGCCATTGTCTGGAACTGCACCTGAAAGACGATTATTCGACAAATCTCTGCATAATATGCAAAGATAGAAACAGTTCCTGTTACACGCACAACAGGATTCTGTAAATCAATGAATTATTTAGAAATGAATACTTACAGAACTTGAAGGGTTGAGATGTTTGTCAACGACATGGGAATGCGTCCAGTCAGGCTGTTGTTGTTTAACCGGCTATCCTTACGAAAAAAACAACAATATACAGTAAGGATACTGAATTGTAACGAGTCGTTACAGAATTACATCAATCATAACTCAAAACAAAAATCAGAGAGCTGTTGGTGATAAGAATAAGCGATCCAAAAAAAACACTAATTTATATAAATCTACGATAGTTCGTTAACAACTTCACGCACAGGAATCTCAATTTTGACAGCTTGCCCAACGTGTCTGGAATGGGACCGCTGAAACTGTTCAAGTACAGGTCCAAGCTCACCAAATTAGTAAGATTTCCAAGATCGCCGGGAATTGGCCCACTAATGTTGTTACTGTACAGCTCCCTATCACAACCAACCAACCGACAGACATGATGTCAGATCATTTGAGACAAAAAGCTTACGATAAGTTAACTGCATAGGTTTGAGCTCACAAACTTTTGAAATTTATAGGTGAGTGCACGTGTGCTTGCGTATGCACAGGTTGATGTGATAAATAGAAAGCATAAAACATGATACAATACTTTGCATTGCACTGAGTAAGAGTGAGTTAGTGTGATTGCAGATAGCAGACAAATCGAATGTTGATATTCTGTCGAAAACTTTACAGTTACGAAGAATCTAGCTTTAGCTCCTAAATGAAATCTAAAAGAAGAAAATCTTGGAAAAGTCCTCAAACTGACATTAAGTATATTTGCAGGTTTTTGTTGGAGTTTCAAAATGAGCTGAAATTGAAACTAAAATTAAAGAGTATTCCATTTATAAGCAATACTTCAAACTATGCCGTGTTGCTTAACCAAATTAAGGAACAAGCTGGTATTAGCAAAATATGCGTATATGTATATGTATATATATATGAAAATAATGTAATTGTAACATACAAGTACTGCAAATTCTTCAACAATCCGAGCTGAGGGACTAATTGACCAGATAACGCAGCATTTCCAAGATCGCTGGCAACAAAATTGGCAAGAAACAGATCATTCCACAAGTCCAAATGAGTTCTAAAAAACATAATAACACTGCTGAAACAAGATAATCATAAACAAAACATATCCTTACACTCGTATCACGCTATTATCGTTGTTGCAAGTGACATGGAACCAAGTGCAGGGGTTCACAAGAGTCGGGTCCCAGCTCTGTAACACATTGTTCGGATCCTCTAAATTCGTCCTAAGACTATGCAAAGCATCACCTATCAAACACAAAAACCCGAAGTTCAGATCCCAAAAATACAATCCTCCCATAAGATGTACAATTTCATCCCAAAACTCAACCGAACCCCATCATCAGCATCACTGGTATCGACTAACACACCCTAATCCCATTCAATACAAACCAAATTCGAATCCATTCTGGTACAAACAAACAATAAGCTAAATCCCAAGACTTACAACCCTAAATTCAGATCCCAAACATACAATCCTCCCATAAAATGTGCAATTCCATCCCAAAAACTCAATTCGAATTTCGAATGTCATCATCAGCATCACCGGTATCGAATAACATTCCCTAATACCATTCAATACAAACCAAATTCAATCCATTCCAGTACAAACAAACAATAAGCTAAATTCCAAAACTTATACCCTCCCCCCACCCCCAAATTAGGCAATACACATCACCAAATTCGACATCTGTCAAGACATATTACTCAATAATGTGAATAGCAGCAACACAGTAAAAAGGAACCAAAATTCACAACCACAAAAGCATTCCAAAAAAGGCTATACAGCAATCCTAAAATGATAACAACAGCATTTAATGTTAGCACTTGAACATAGATTCCAGTAAAAGCATAAATTCTCCCAAACCTAACCAAATTAATGATCTATAGAAAAATCTCAAACTAAACCTAGAAAATGAAAACAAACAATCACCGAAAAAACGAATCGCATTAAGCAGGTAATCAAATCAACAAGTAGCAAAGAGAACCTTCCATATTAGCATCGGTTAAAACCACCAAATGCACTACCGCCACAATCAGCCACACCGCCATTGACGCCGCCGCCGCCATTACTTCTCCTTCCGTCCGCCGTCTCATTCACTCATCCCTACGCATAAACAACAAATCAGGCAACAAACACGATAATGCTTCAGATCCAAAAAATTATAAACCAAACCCTCGAAAGCCTACAATTGCAACCCGAAACCGCTCGACATTGCTCAAACCGATCCAGGCGGCAATTATGATTGTTGCTGTAGTGTTCACTTCAGGCAATCCGAAGTCTCCGAGCTGTGTAAGGACTGTATGATCTTCTTCTGCTGCTGCCTCTTCTTCTTTCCTCCTTCCGTAACCGCTTTTAATGGCTCTCTGCGACACTGTTTTGTTTTTTCTCCTCTGCAACGTACTTTGCTTTTCTCCACCTCTCTCTCTCTCTCTCTCTCTCTCTCTCTCTGGAAGTAGTGTGTGTGAGAGAGAGTTAAGTATCTTCGAGCGTGGGATAATTATCGTTTTTCTTTTTGGGGGCTGGCGTGAGAGAGTGTGTGTGAGAGAGAGAGCAGCGTTTTCCATGGCTGCCCGAAAGCACTCCACGGGCTGCCCGTTTTTTCTTTATGCTCAAAACGGTCTCCAGCGATTTTTGGCGTTTTCTATTATCTTCAGTAAATGTTGTTTGTTTTTTCTGCTTTTCTTTTATTTTATCAGCCATTTTTGGCTTTTTAAAATTTTTTAATTATATCATTGTAATATTTTCGATTAAAATATAGTATTTTTTATTTTACATTAATTAGCAGAAAAAAAATTATTTTTTTTTTTTTTTTTTGGTATAAAAGATAAAAAATACATACTAAATTAAAATTCCTATATAAAAATATTTTTTTTTATCGAAACAAAAATTAAAATATCTCAAACATGGGCTGCAATTAGGGTCGGCAAACGAATAATATTGGGTTGATTCAGATTCGGATTAACTTTAAACGGGTTATAAAATTTTTTACCTGAATCTAACTCATTAAATTAAATGGGCTAACATTTGAAATTTTAATCTGATATTTTATTAATCGGGTCAACTTAAATCTAATTTGTATAACTCGTTTAAGTCTAAAATTTTTAAATATTAATTTAAAATTACGATATCTATTAACAAAATTTTCAAATGCATAATATATGTACATATTAAAGCAAAAAACTATTTATTCCAAAAATTGAATTAACAAACACTACTAAGTAACAGTACATAACACAATCATGTATTTTTATTTTTTTTTTAATGTTATATTATAGGCAATATATTTTATTAATATTTATTATGTGTTATATATTGTACTGTATTAGAGTATAATATTTATTACGTGGGTTATATTTATCATAGTTATCTTATTTTAAAAAATTGTAGAATTCTTGTTTTATTTAGATGGTTTGTATTTCATTATAAATATGTACAAATTTTTAAATAAAAAAAAAAGATAATTTCAATTTTATATTCTAATATGTATAAGATCTTATTTTTCTTTTATATAGACATAACCTACTAACATTCGTTTATTCGGATACATTAAATTTAGAATGTACCTGAAGGTCTCCGATTTCGAGATATGTCTGCATTTTGCATTGGAATTTGTGTTTGCCTTAAAGTTTGAACCTGCGTTTAAGAATAGAAGATTTTTCTAGACAGACGGAGACAATGTCGGATGAGCAACTGTTATGTACGAGAACAAAAGCTCAGTTGGGAGCGACGATAGCAGTGATGGACAAAACAATTGTTATTTACATTTGCATTAGAGTTTTAGTCTGTGTTCGAAAACATAAGCTTTGTTGAGAGTGACAGAGGCAACGTCAGATGAGTTCGAGAACAGAAGTTCAGTCAAAAGCGGCGGCGGCAACGACTGACCAAACAACTGTTATTTGTGTTTGCGTTAGAGTTTATGTCAGCTGAGGGACTACAGCAATAACGGACCAAATAATGTATATTTATATCATATCAAATAAGCATTTCAATTCAAATTTTACTATTCAAAACTAAAATCTTACAAATAACAAACCAAAATTTTATTCAAATTTTTTATTCCAAAAAAAATTATCTTCTTAAGTTTGGATACAAATCACATTTTTTATTGAATTTTTGTTATCAAATTAAATATAATATTATAAAAAGTAATTATTTAAAATATCGCATATAATATATATTTATATGTAAAATATGAACCACCATAAAATTGCGAGAACTTTTATATATATATAAAGGGAAACAAATCATAAGAACTAGTAGTAATTATAACAATAATAATTGATTTGTATGGTTATAATTTTTATTTAAATTTTAATTTAAATAATATTTCAATTTAATATAAAAATTATAATATATGCTCTAACTTAAAATATATTTTTTACTATTTTTTTTATATTTTACTTAAAAGTATCTATTTTATAAAAATAAATTTTCATTAATTTATACTAAAATTACAAACATATTATTATACATATAATTATTTAAAATCAAATGACAAAAATGCCAAAATTTCTTATATTTTCATTAACTATTGAAATATTATTCACTCATTCCAATTCGAAGTAATTTTTTCTACCATTTTTATTTGTCTTATTCAAAATTAATTATTTCATATTTTTTAAAAAATTATCATATACTAATACTAAAATATCTTTAATTTTTACTTAAATTACAAACATACAATTACAAATACAATTACTTTATAAATAAAGTTATTGGACAAAATATAAAAAACTTCTTACACATTTTCACTAATCAATAAAGACCAGTAAGTAATGACCTGGTGACGTAGGAATAGACTCGTAACTGTGAGGTCATGAGTTCAAACTCCCAGGTTTTGTATTAGACTATTAGGTTCGGCCGACGTGTTACTGTAGATACGACAATTTTGATTAGTATAATTAAAATTTTTAAAAATAAAATTAAATAGTATAATTATTTTTCAAAAAAAAATTAATAAAATAAATGGGACAAACGAAAATAAAAAAATAGATATAAGAAGTTCTTACGAAAAAAAATAATAAAATATTATTATTTTATAATTTATTGGAAAATCCCCAAAATCATATCTATCACATGATGTCCAAAATTAAACGTACCCAATAATAATGAGAAATAAATTATAAATAGTGTATCATATGGAGTATTTATGTAGGGAAGTGGGAATGGTCAAAATCCTTGACCGTTTTTCTGAAAGTGACATGTCAGCATCAATGCGAAGTAACTCTCAAGAGATCCTGCAGTGTATGGTCCCCAGAACATCCTAGCCGTCGATATTACGGGATCTATATAATCGACGGTTTGGATGAATTTGGGAGCGTAGGTCCCAGCGGCCGTGAAGAAAGATGCCATCAATTGATGTACAAAAATAGGAGGTGTGGAAAGTGATGTGACAGTAGGATAACAATTTTTTAAATTCCCTAAAATTAACAAATCCCACTCCATATTTTATATGTACAATTATTTATAATACTCTATCCGTCCCAATGGTAACACTAAAATTTTCAATGTGATGCATTTTTAAAGAAAATCAAGATTTAATTTGATATTTTTAAAAAAATTACTATTAATAATAATATTTTTAAATATCAGACTTAATATATTCTTTTGTTTTATAATATATAAAAAATAATAATTTTTTATTAATTAGCAAAATATATCAAATAATTATGATATTTTAAAAATATATATTTTTATAAAATTTAGGAGTATTTTAATGTATATATATGAATCATTTTTACTATATTAAATATACAAAAAAAAAAATAAAAAATAAAAAATATTAAGCTAATAACAAGCCGTGGCTCCAATAATATGATTATTATTATTTCCTTCGTCCCATAACAGAGTATTCATTTTTCATTTTAGTCTGTTCCATAACAAAATATTCATTTCCTTTTTTCTAGTAACTGTACTATATATATAACATTATAAATACTCTTACAACTTACAATATATTACACAAATGTCATTACCTTTATATCACACATACTAATAAGGTTATTTTAGTTATTTTTATTTTATTCCTACTACATCCAAATATAATACAAATATTTCTAAAACTACGTGCAAAAAACAAATGTATATTTAGTTATGAGACGGATGGAGGATTATTTTCAAGTGTAAAAATTGAAAATTTTATGAGACGAAAAAAATGTATATTTTTTTTCGGGGAACGCAGAATTTAAATAATATAATTTGAAAATTTTAGATTGAAGAAATATACCCATTTGAACTATTGAACAATTTTGCTTTTCAAAATTCGGAAGGCAGGTGGCTGGCCAACGGAATTGTTCCACCACCTTAAACAACATAGGCCTTGTTTATATATATCTATATATATATATTGAAATTTTTTATATTATCGATGAACAATATTGTTTTTAAAAAAATTAAATATATCTATCCATTTGTACATAACATTTCCTAAGTTTTATATGATTTTAATTTGAAATTGATTTAAAATAAAATAGTATTAATTTTAATTTTTATTAAAATAGTATTTTAATATAATATTTTTTTATTGAGAATATGAATAATATTGATTTCTATTCAAAATCACATTCGAATACACCTCAAATACTTAATTTTTTATTGTTTATAAAATATTTCAAAATTTCTAGCTAAAATTTCTATATAAAAGTAAGTTTCTTCATTTCTTTGAGATTGATTTGAAAATATTTGATTTAAGTTTTCTATTTAAATAAATTTTATGAGATATTTATAATTTTTTTAAAAAAACAAAAAATTCAAATAATGAAATTAAAAATAAAATAAAATAAAGAGACACCGACTCCACTCGACCCGACCCTAGCATGGACAACCCGGGCCCATGCCCGACCCCAAATTTTTAGGCGTTCTTCTTAATTCGATTAATTATAGAATTTACCTATAAATAATGCATATTAGAAATTTAGATCCTAGAAACATGTTCAAATTATATCTATAAGCCAATAGGCCACTTTTTAAAATAATCAAACTTACCCGTAAGAATGATCAAATTATTGTACTATGTAAAATTATGACATTGAAGTCATAGGATTTTCAAAACAATCAATTTACATAATGAAAATAAATTCGTAGTACAAGTCAATTTAAATTATTGAACAATTAAATAAATCAATCAAAATTTCTATAACAAAAAAATATCAAAAACCCTATTCTAATATATTACAAAACTGTTAAAATAAAAATATTCAAAAAAAATAAAAATAAAAATTAATTAAGGAAGTCCTTGCTCTTGTTGTTGATCGTAGTTATCCCCCGAGAGATCTTCTAGAGACTTCCCTTTCCCTTCAGGAACCAAAAAACTACACAAAAACCCCAAGAAATTAATCACCCCCATAACCATCAATGCATTCTTGACCCCTATACCCGCCGGGTAACCCGGATCCGCCTTCTTCGGGTCGGGGCTCTGGGCCAAGTACAAGAACCCGAACGCCCCGACTATCGCCCCCATCTTCCCCGCCGCCGCCGATATGCCATGGCAGGTCGACCGGAGCCTCGCCGGAAAAATCTCCGCCGGCACAACGAACGTCGTCGCGTTAGGACCGAAGTTCGCGAAGAAGAACGTCAGAGAATATATCACCACGAATCCGATCTGGTTGCCGGCGGCCGTCCAGTGGCCGTACGGAACCGCCAGAGCGAACATGAAAACCGTCATGAAGAAGAATCCGGTCACCTGAATCAGGAACCTTCCGATCACGTCGATTAGGGCGACGGTGAACCAGTAGCCGGGGACGGTGCTGCAGAGAGCGATTAGAGTTTGGGCGCGTGCGATTGTGTAAACTTCCTGAACGGCGTTCATGGAGGTCGCCGGAGGAATCCATCCGATCGCCGTGAAAATGTCCTTCTGGAAGAGATTCTGACTGTAGTAAGCTATGTCGAGGAGAAACCACGTGGTCGCCGTGCCGGCGAGGTGTTTGCCGTGCTTTATTAAGAATTGCTTCGAAATCAATCCGAACCGTTGATCTTGATCCGACGATCCAACGGCTGGATTTCGCCCATCTGGCTCGATCTTCGTCTGGAGGACTTTCTCCATGTCGGACGTCGCCCGGCGGATGTCGCCGGCGACGATGGCGGTGTATCTAGCCGTTTCCGGCATCTTCATCCGCCAGTAGAATGTGAGCGCCGCCGGCAAAGCGCCGGCCATGAGAATGATTCTCCAGACATAGTCGGCGCCGGGGGAGGTGGAGGCGGCGGGATTGACGGCGTACGGCGGCGCCGGGAACTTCGAGTCGAAAACCGCCGACACGAGCATGGCGACGGCGCCACCAGCGAGGATTCCGAAGCCTTGCATAGCGAAGACGGCGGCGATGAAGGCGCCGCGGGTTTTTTTGTTGGAATATTCCGACATGATGGTGGCGGAGAGAGGGTAATCGCCGCCGATGCCGAAGCCGAGCCAGAATCGGAAGAAGCAGAGAGTGGTCATGACGGCGGCGGGGGTTTTTCCGGCGGAAAGGCCGGAGGCGATGGAGGAGAAGATCATGAGAATTAGGGTTAAGCCGTATACCTTTTTCCGGCCGAATTTGTCGCCGAGCCAGCCGAAGAAGAGCTGGCCGGCGAGGGTGCCGCAGAGGGCGACGCCGTTGACGGCCATGGAAACGTTCGGCGGGAGGGAGCCTGGCTTGGAGGCGCCGGCGGCGGTGTAGTAGATCCGGCCGAGGAGCTTGGTGACGAGGGAGATGCAGAAGAGGTCGTAGGCGTCGGTGAAGAAGCCCATTCCGGCGATAATGACGGCGGTGAAGTGGTACAATTGCGTTTTAGCTGTGTCGAGAGCGGTTAACACCTTCATGCTGTTGTCCGCCATTGTTGTACGGCTCGAGCTTGTTCTGTACGTTTCTGCAGCTACGAAAGGCTGTAAATATGTGTATATATAGATACCTATGCTTATGGATAAATTAGGGTTTGTTGCGCGATATTGGTGTATAGATTATATCTAAATCGCGATATCCATATCTTTGAGTTAAAATTATATCTAAATTTTATTTTATTTTTTATTATTATTTTTTTTTTTGAAATTTTGAAAATTTGAAAATAATCCAAAACTGTGGTTGTGTTTGTTTTCTGTTTATATTCAATTTTTTATTATGTGAATTTAACGGTTATATGAAAAAATATATGGATGTGTCATGTGGATTTTTAACAAATTTTTATTATTCAATTTTTTTAAAAAATAAATTAATAATTACTTTTTAAATTATACCAAAAATTTATTTTACATATAGAATATACATCAATATCTATAGTATCAAATAAATATTCAAATTCAATTTTTTACTATTCTAAATTCTAAATTCACAAATTAACCCACCTTGTATTTCTTTCTAACAAAATATGCATGTATATTTAGTATTTTAGTTTGAACTATTCTTTTCTTTATCAAATAAATTTCAAATTTAACTATTTTTAAAATAAATTATAAAATGTATAAAAAAAAAATCAAAAGTTAATTATACCTTTAATGTTTAAATTCTAAACTATCAATAAAAATATTGGATTCGTTTGATTACAATTTTAAACACAAATTATCACTATTTATTTAGTACAATTTTAACTAAAAAATTATTATTATTATTATTTTAAATCACATCAAAATACTATTTTTTTAAAAAAATACTAATATCAAACCCCATTTCAAATCAATTTCAATTCATAACCAAACAAACCCAATATCTTTATCACAATTATATTTACTTATATTAAATAATTTATTTTTTACTAAAAGAAATTATACAAAACAGATCTAATTTGTTTTCAACCCATCTTGCTACAACCCAACCCGGTTTGAAGCCAAATTAAAATTTGGCTAAGCTTATCTGGCACAAATTGAAAATGGGCTGGGCCGGCCCAATAAAAAATCGAACACAATTCATTGATAGATTAACACTCGATTACTTGATCGCTATTATCGATCGACGCCTTCACCGCATCCAAAACGACCTGCGTCTTCCGGCTAAGCTCCGGCCACCTCTTCTCCGGCGAGGCGCCGCGGAATTTAATGTTACCGACGAGCCTCGAAAACTCGCTCACCATAAGCGCTTCCTGGGGGCTCTCCGTGGCAACAACCGTCTCCTCGGCGGGCACCGGCTCCCATTCCTGGAGATTCTCGTCGATCCCCGGCTTCTCAGCCGCGGAAAGAAACGAAGCTCGATTCTCCTCGTACGGAATGACAAAGTCGTTCACGCGTAGGACGCCGTTGGTTCCCACTACGGTGGCGTCCATTGTCATGTTGGCCGTGAAAGAACAATGGAAGGTCGCCGTCTTCCCGTCATCCCATTCCATGGATGCGCCGCAGGCAATGATGACGCCGGCGCTGTTGAGCACCGTGCCGCCCAGGGAGACGACGGATTTGGGCAGGCGATAATCGGCAGCCCACAAGATCGCCCTGATGCAATACCAGCCTGCGTCGCCGAGGGCACCGAGAGCGTCGAGATCGGGCTTCACGCGGATGTCATTTTCGAGGAAGTTTTTGTCTGCTGCAAAGCTGAAGCTACTGTGCACCTGCAGCAAGCAAACGTAGACAGTTTAGAAACTTTTGATATTCCATCGGTTCTTAAGAAACTATCTAGTTTTTCATTTTAGTCGTTTCCATTTTATTTATACTTGATATCAATATAATACCTTAAACTCTGTGCAAAAAACAAACGGATACGGAAGGAGTACTATTCATCCACAACAACTTTTTACAAAAGACATTATATCAAATACTTTTTTCTCTCACAAAACTTCATATCAAATACCCAACTTTTTACTATTTTAAAAAAAGTTTCAAAACTTTCAAAACCTCTATATGAACTGAGCCGAAATTTGTTTGGGAAAATTACTCAGCCGAATTCCCTGCCACAACAAACAATGTCGATACATAGAAAAACAACATAGTTGCAATTGGCTATGAAATTTTGCTAAAATCTTTAATGAATCTTCTATAAAATCGAGCATGACTCGGGAAGCTTCATGCAGCCTTTGAAATTACACTAAGTTTAGCTTTATCAACTCCAATTCCTTGGTGAAGGGAGTGTAGCGAATTATATTACCATAAAATGATATTTTTCTCAATTAAGAACCAAATGCGACTCGAAAGATTCTCAAGGCAGCACGAGGAAGATATTTTGCCAAAAACTAAGAAACAGTGTATGTATCGATATTATTTGTTTTCGGCTCAAAGCTCAATTGTGGGATATTTCTTTCTACAAAAGATTTAATTCTAGGCAAAGTTCTAACAAACGAATCAACTAACAAAAGTAAAACAAACAAACCTCATGAGATAAAAATAAAACAAAATAGCTTATAATCCACTTATAGTTTGAAAAGTATGAACTTGAAAACTATGTATATAATTTCAAAAACACAAAAGAGTCTTACGCCATTTTTAGGGGATTTATAGCAACATTTTCTAAAATACTAAAGGTGTGTTTGGTTTTTATTTGAAACCAAAATCATTGTTATTCAATTTCGTACAATTTTCATAAAAATATACTTAATCCATCTCAAACATCCTCCAATATTTTTTTTTATATCTCAAACACTCTACAATATTTTCAAAATGAAAAATAATTAATTATACTTAATCTCTACCCTACACTTTACCCCATCACATAACCAAAATAAAAGCAAATATAATATACATTTTTCGCCATCGGATATCACTTGATTTCTAAATTATTCTACTTAATACTACTCATTTAAAATCCTGTGCCGAAATCAAATGTTGCACCTTCTTGGGACGGAGGGAGTACTATTTTTTCTCACAAATCACTACACCGAAATAATATTTAAACCAAAACTCAAATCAAAACCTCGATTTCAAACCAAAATCAAACGAACCCTAATAAGGCTCGTGTAGTTTAATTCTAAATCATTAAATAGTATATCGATTATAAACTATTTTGCTGAAAAATCATCATGGAAGATTTACCATGGACGATTCTTATAAATTGGAAATCATTGTCGATGCCGACAATTATACATATCGTAACCTTTTGGCTTAATAAGCAATGACAACCATTTCATACTCTTCCTAAGGTGAAAATGAACACTAAGATGATTATACCTCAAGCAAGATCCTAACAAAATTTCATAGCCATTTTCAACGAATCAAAGCCTTCAAGTTCATGAACAAAACGATCGATATTTCCTCAAATATTGTCTCACCACACAAAAATGTATTCGAATCGAAGCAAATCACTAGCAATTCAATCAATTCTAACCCCAATTATCCCAAAATTCAATCAATACCTAACCCTAGTAGACAATCGAATTTTCCCCCAAATCTGGAACTCAAGCAAGCAAAACCCTAGAATTTCGATATGAAGTAAAGCAGCAAAGGTAAAAAAAGTCACGTACGAATTTGAGTTCCCCAAAGCGAGAAGAATCGAACAGGAACTCCTCCATCTTCGCCGTCCGGGGGTGGTGCATCCACATGGTGGCGTCCATAATCTGCACTCCGGCGGACTCGCACGCCTCCAGAATCAGATCCAGCTCCGCAACGTTTAGCGCGACCGGCTTCTCCAGGAGGAGGTGTTTCTTCTTCCCGGCGGCGAGAACCGCCCACTTGACGTGCAGGCTCGTCGGCAGCGGCATGTAGACGGCGTCGACCTCGGGGTCGTCCAATACGGCGTCGTACGAACCGTAGACCTTGGCCGAATCTGGGAAGCCGTTGTCCTTGGCGAACTTGGCGGCTCTCTCGACGCTGCGGCTGCCGATGGCGTACAGCTCGGAGTTCGGGGAGAGCCTTATGGCGCGGGAAAGCTTCCGTGCTATGTTGGCGCAGCCTAAGATTCCGAATTTGATCGGAGCTTCGGCCATGGCAGGCTGAGGATTGCTGAGAAAGGAGAAGATAGGTGGACGAAAGATATCCGTTTATTGGAGGGGAAATGGTGACTATAAATTAATAAATTATTATTATTATTAGATACGTTCAAGGAAAAAAATATTAACTCCCCCGTGTGACAACTTACCCTTCCATTGGTGACACGCGATATTTAATTGATTAATAATATTGAATTATGCATTTACAATTTTTTTTTACTTAATATTAAAAATATATATTTATATAATTTTTTTTACAAATAGTATTATTATATTAGTATGATAAAACAAGTATTTTTGTATTTTTTTTTTGAAATTGTATTAGGATATAATAATTATTTTATCCGTCTTAGCTTATTTGTTTTAGTTTAGGCCCAAAATTTTAAATATTATATAATTAATAAATAATTAAAAAGTATATTAATAAAAATAATTATAAATTAAAATTAAAATGATTTGAATAGTTTAATTAAAATTTAAAAAATACTCTCTCCGTCCCACGTACCATGTCACTTTCTTTTAAAAAAATAATTACGCACTTTAATCTCATTTTAAATTTTTTAATTTATTTTTTTAATTTTAATTAAACTAATTAGTTATCTTAATTATATTATAGGATAATTATATTCACTAATACATTCTTAATTATTTTATACACCTCCTTATCGTATCTACAGTGTAGCAGATACGGTATGTAAGACGGAAGGAGTATTAAATTAAAAATTTTAAAATGTAATCAAAACAAATTATATGAAATAGACGAAAATATAAAGAATAGACCGATTAAGTGACACGGAGTATATTTAAAAATCAAGACATGTGATTTTAGAACTAGGAGGTAGTGGCCCGAGAGATACTATTATTTTATTATTGTTTTGTATAATTAATTATATTAATAGTTTTAAAATATTTTCACTATTACGATTAAAAAATTAAAAAATATATTAAATATTTAAAAAAATTATATCGTAATAAAAATAAAATAAAATAGACTCGACATATGTGCTGATCAATTAAGGATGTGTTTGTTTGGGAGTTTGGATTTTGAGTTGGAATTTGAATAGTAAAAATTTTGAATTTGAATAGGTGTATGATGTGATATAAATAAGTATTGATGTGATATTTTGAAATGTAAAATTGATTTTTAGTATAATATAAAAAATAAAAAATAGGTGTTTGATTTGATGTTTTGGGGGAAAAAAAATTGGATGAATAATGTAAATCCAATCCAATCCCCAAACAAACACACCCTAAGTATAATATGTAATTTTAATTTGAGAAATACTATAGGGATGATGAAAATATATTTTGAATTATAATATAATATTCTCTCCGTCCCTTAACAATCTATTCATTTTTTCATTTTGGTCCGTCACATAATAAAGTATATTTTCTTTCTTAGTAATTGTACTATATACATAACATTACAAATATTCTTCCAATTTACAATATATTACACAAATACTATTACTTTTATATCATGCAATACTAATAGGGTTAATTTAATCTTTAAAACTTCGTACAAAAAGTAAATAGATATATATTACTTCATCCGTCTGCCAAATTTATTTTCACTTTCCTTTTTAGTCCGTCCACTAAATTTATCTCATTGCTAATTTTGGCAAAGTCAACAAATCAACATTTAATTATTACTCTCTATTTAACACTTATTTAGACCACTAACTTTATTACATTATTTCTCTCCATTTACTTTACTTTTTAACTAATGGGGTGTATTCAATTAGGATTTTAATGGAGTTGTTTGAATTTTGAAAAGTCCTTAGATTTAAGTGGATTTATAAATTCTATAGAATCTATGCAGAGTTTAATTGATTTTGTTTATTGATTTATATGGATTTTGATAGATTTTTGATTGGATTATTTATTAATTTTTCTAAATTTCATTAGACTTTATAAATTTATAAATTAAATATTTTTTTTATTGATTTATAGAATTTTAAATATATGCACTACACTTGTATGTATAAAAAATTACAAACATTTAAAAAAAAAAAATTAAAAGTAGATTAGTTCTCAAAAAAATATATTTATTATTATTCTCACTTTTATTTTATTTTTAAATTTATATTTTTTGTTATAGTATTATTTTGATCGAATTTATTATATTACATACATTCAGCGCAATTAATTTTTATTTTATAACAATCTATTTAATTGTTATTATTATTATTTATATGAATTTTTATATAAAAAAATATATTTATAAATAAAATTACATTAAAATTTCAATTTTTATTAATTAAAATTTAAAAATAATTAAAAATAAATAAACATAAAGTAACATTGTCAAATATAATAGGTGGTTTTTGAACTGACCGAACTAAAATTATGAAAAATTTGATTTTGATTTGACATTTCCAAACATTAAAATTGATAATTTTAATTCGAACTATTTGAGCAAGTTTATTTTTTTATTATATATATAAATATTTGAATATTATATCAAATATATAAAACTTTAAAATATTTGTAATTTTATATTACACATTTAAATTTTCTTATCTTATTGATATTATTATAATAAAATAATAAATACATATAAAATAATAAATAGTTATTAATGCTATAAATAAAATTATATATACTTTTTTATTAATTTTGAGAATCCATTAAAATGTCACAAGATTCTATGTGTTTGTTTGGGGATTGGATTTAATTTTCACTATTCATCCAATTTTTTCTCTTCAAAAACATCAAATCAAACATTTATTTTTTATTTTTTATATTATACTAAAAATTAATTTTACATTCAAAACATCACATCAACATCTATTTTATATCACATTATACAATTATTTAAATTCAAAATTTTTACTATTCAAATCTTAATTCAAAATCCAAAACCCCCCAAACAAACACACCCATTTATTAACAAATTTATTAAAAAATATAACAAAATCCATGGATTTTTAGAGTCCATGGATTGTTGAATACACCAAAATTTTAAAATTTTTCTTAAAATCTGAATCGAATACACTTAAATTTTAAAACAGATTTTGAGAATCCAGTAAAATCTATATTGAATACTCTCCCTAAATCTCAAAAATATCCTAAATTATGTCAAATGAACGAAAGAATTTTGTGTAAACAAACTGTGTATAATTATCAACTAGACAACGACATAGACCCAAATTTACACCTTCTTAAATAAAAATGGAAATATGGATAATATAAACATTTGAAAGAGAGGCCAATAAGCCTTCAAAACCGTAGCGCCATTTTTTTTCCGCGTGTGTTTTTGGCTGTTCTCTTTTTGTTCCCAAACAATGTTCATCGCTCCGCTCCGACCGCCGCCGCCGCCTCCGCCGTTTATCGTTCCGAATTCCGTACTCATCCGCCACATACGGCTGAGTGTTCTTCCGCCGCGCCGCTATCTCGCCGCGCCTGCTGCCGTTTCCCGAGACCTGGACGACTTCACGCAGTATTCCGGCTACCTTTTCCAGTTGAGCTCATCGGAAGCCGAATCGTTGACTGAATACAGCGTATCGAGAATCGCGGATATATATCAGAAGAAGCCTCTGGTTGTTCTTCGCCGGCTGTTCCAAACCGCCACCACTCTCGGCAAGTGGTTCGCTCTCCGCTACTACGACCGCGTCACGGAGCGTGCGGATTTGATGTTCCAGGTGAGATTTGCGAAAGTTTTTTGTTGGTGTTCTACTTCTGCTTGAATTGAAAGTAAAGTTTTCGGTGTTTAAAGCTGTAATGGTTAACGAGGCATTGGCATACAGTAGAGCTGATGCTTCAAGGCTCTTGAAATTTTGTTCAAATCTTCCGGAATTCGTATAATTAACCTTCGGCATTATTGGTGTTGATAGTTGATTATCAATCTCCTTTTCATTTGTAAATCATCGTGTAGTTGATTTATATTTGTGGCAGTTTGAGATAACGATCTAGTTTTTATACTTGAATTGAAATTTTGTTTGAGCCCGCTTGTTAAACAATTTTTTTGTTGGAATTCAGCTTAAGAATTATTTTATTTTATTTTGAATTCAGTTAATAATAATGGTTTATTAATAAATTTATGTAAAATAATTAGATTTAAATATAATGTTAGTATTTATTTAATATAAAAATATTACTCCCTTCTTCCGGTGAAATAAGAGCATTTGTAGAAAAAGGTAGGTGGAGGGAGGGACTTTTGAAAATTTAGTTAGAATTAAAAATAAAAAATAAAATAATGCGTAGAGAGAAGTTAATAAAGGCTATGATCTTAATGAATAGAAGATAATATTTAAACGTTGATTTGTTGACCTAGTAATGGTGTAAATTTAATGGACAGACTAAAAAGAAAGATAGTGAGAGTAAATTTGGCTGACTTGAGGAAGTAATTTATTTTTTTAACAAATACTGTCAAACATTTACAAAGAAGCTCGAACTCGTTTGTGAACATGAGTTAAAATTTGTGTTCGTGTTCGACTTGTTTAGCTCAGCAAACGAACTTTTAACGAACCAAACTGAGTAAAGTCGTCTGTTCTACCCTCTAAGTACCATCTTGTAGAAGATATTGGTGTAATTGTTTATTCATATAAACTAAAGTCTGTATTAATTGAAATAATATTGGATAAATTCATATATGGACAAGGATTTGGTCACTTGCCTATGGGAATGATGGAATGATAATGAGTGATGGAAATCTATCATTTAAGAGAGTAAAGCATGAATTTATTCTAAGTTTGGTCAATATTTTCAATATCCTTTCGATCTTGAATTGTAGGTTAGAGCTGCTGAATTGAGGAAGATCTTACTACAACTTGGTCCGGTATATCTCATTCACTTTACAGTTTTTCGCAATTAACAGCCTCCCTTAATTCACTATTTATTTTTACATCTTGTATTCATTGCTATGAAATGGGTTTGCTTGTAGAAGTATTTTGTGAATGTTTACGAGGGGAATGCATGGTTGTTGTCTTGCACAGACTGACATGTATTTAAATGCACATATGTCGATGAGTGTCCACATCACTAAATGTATCGGTGTGTTCTTCTTTTTACCTTGTTTTTTGTAATACCTCGGAGTTGAGCTGATGCTAGGCCAACTCCCATGGGTGAGTTAGTGTCAGACCATCTAAAATTGAATAATAATTAAATGGATTGAATAGACTACTCATGTAAATATTATGAACATTCTTTTTCGAAAGCCCTACTGAAAGAACTCTAGAGAGTTAAGTGTACTTGCGGGCTGGGGTGTCACAGTTGGTATCAGAGCCGACCTGCGATAGCCCACGGTCATTGACCTGACTATTGAGGGGCCTAGTAGTTGATGATCCAACGGGGACGTTGCACTCTTAAGTGGGTGACGATGTAATACCCGTTGAGCCGGTGTTAGGCCAACTCCTGTTGATGAGCCGATGCCAGACCATCTATGATTGAATAGTAATTAAATGGATTGAATATACTAAACAATGTGTACATTCTCTTTCGAAAGCTCTACCGAAAAAACTTTTAATTAGAATTTTAGTTTCAGTAGGGCTAACCCCCTGGGAAGTCTCTGTGATGCGCGCGAGGCCAAAAGCTCTTGTGTTGATCTATGGGCCAATCTATGATCTCGACATACTCGCTTCGCGTGGCTTGCGGATCAAAATGTCACATTTTTGCATGTGCCTGGGAGCTTATGTTTATATATTGTCAAATAAATCCAACATAATTCAAAACAAACTGGGGTTATTACAAATTGCTTCCGTTCGTTCAACAGCATAGTTGAGCATTTAATATGTTTATTAAGTTATGAAATTTGTATGTAAATTCTTCTCGTGGGGGTACGCTATCGTTGTATTGTATCATAAGTAGTGAATATGGCTGCAACATTTGGAGAGGCAGCTTTTGCTTGTTACACTTCGCCATCAAAAGCAATATTTTGTAGTTTACCTTTGATAGTTTCAGTGAATAATGTTGACTAGTTTGTGGTGTGCTTTGTTTTTTTGTAGGCATATGTTAAGATAGCTCAGGCCATTTCATCTCGAGCTGTAAGTAATATATTATATGAATGAATGGCTGTTGTTTTTGTTAATTTATTTGCCTCTGCAAACGACATGCACCCGTGGTGAGTATAAAACTCTAGTGATTCAGTTTTGAGTATAAAACATAGTTACCAATAAATTACAACTTCAAACCTGAATATTACAGGATTTGATTCCGCCCTCATATTTGGATGAACTATCAATTTTGCAAGACCGAATTACACCTTTCTCCACAGAGGTTGCATTTGATATGATAGAACAAGAACTTGGACAGCCAATAGATGTACTTTTCTCGGAAATCTCACCTGAGCCTGTGGCAGCTGCATCACTTGGACAGGTATGTCATCAATTTATTTCCATGTGATTCAGAACTGCACCGTTACGAGTTTAAAATCGCAAGGTTGAAAAACAAATTATCTGAATATATGGGAAAAGGTCTATCAAGCTAGGCTTCGTGCCAGCGGGAAGGTTGTTGCAATCAAAGTGCAGAGGCCTGGTGTTAGAGCTGCCATTTCATTGGATATATTAATCTTGCGATACATAGCAGGTGTGATAAGGAAAGCAGGGAAGTTTAACACTGACCTTCAGGTGTGTGCATTTCTGAACCATAGTGTTGCAATTTCAGCATTTTGTTGCATGCAACTCACAAGGGCTTTTTATTGTACATTATTTGTTCTTATTGTAGCATTTAACTAACACATGTTCTCCAATTTGCAGTCGGTCGTTGATGAATGGGCCTCAAGCCTTTTCAAGGTATTTAAATATTTTGACAACCTTAGAGTCTTTTGATACTCCTGTATCTTTTACATTTTTGAAGGGTGGAATAACCATTTCATACAATGGCGAAAATTCATGTCAATAAATCTTACCTTGGAGCCCATTGAAGCTATCAGATAGGGAAGACATAACACCATGTAGAAACTGTTATTTCATGTTATGAAAAGACCCATCTTAACAGAAGTTCAAAACGTCAATTGAGTCCTCAGATGCCAAAAATCAAAACACAACATTCATGGTTTTTTCTTGACTTTTATACACGACGTGCCAAAAATCAAAATACAGCATTCATGGTTTTTTCTTGACTTCTATACACAAGGCAATTTCATTTTAATAAATGCTGAAATACTTGTTGATTTATTTCCTTTTTCCAGAGCATGTGTGCAATTTCTTCTCCTCTATTTTCTTTGTATGCCTTTGTGTGAGGAATTTTCTTAGTGCTTCATATTGAATACAGGTAATCCAATTGAATGCAGGAGATGGACTACAATAGGGAAGCAGGCAATGGAATTAAGTTTAGGTAAAGAATTATCTATGTTACTGGAAAAAAGTCAAAAATCAGAATAGTGTTAGCATATTTCTTCTGTTATTCTTCTGCCAAATGATTATAATTTTCTGACATATTAATTAGCCTTAAGGCATTTTAGTGCATAGGCATCTGTCCAAGGGATGATGAGCTTCTGAAAGAAAATTATTTGGAGAAATTTTTTACTTTGTTGTTTCCAACTTCATATTTTGAATAATGTTTTTATTTAGGTGTATCATTCAGATGGTAGAATTGAGTTCAACATAAAACCTTAGAAACTAGACACTAGACTTCTTTTAGATATATTGAGTGGATATATGGGCAATTGTGGACAAAGGTAAACAAAAGAAAATAGTTAAACTTTATCGAATGCTGATAAATCCTTGAATTTGAGAAAGCTAATAATGACCAACATTAACCTGTAAAAACATGTATTAACTAAATAAAACCCTCCATTTGAAGGAATTCTTTAGGCACATAATATTGTGTGGTGCCCCAGCTTGCCACAATATTTTATAACATCTTGAACTCAAAGTTTGATCTACAATTAGGTGCAGAATAATTAAGTATGTCTTTCACGTCACTGTTAATTGCAATCTGCAACTTACATTTTTTTATTGTTGAAACCTGGATTCTTGGCACTAGAAGTCAAGGAGAAAGCAAATACCTCAAAAAACAGTAATTAGCTTCAATATGCTGGTCATTCGTTTTTCTGATTGGATAGACCAGAGCAATTTGTTTGATGTTTATTGAAGTGTAGGACAACAGCTCTGCTATGGTGTTGAATTTGTATGTGTTTTTATTATATTTTTGTCATGTGTTTGGGATCAATGTGCTCTGACTGTTATATAAAAGAAGAAAACATATGTCAAACCAGTTTGCTGACAGTTGCTACTCGCTCAGACAGTTATACGGCAGCATAAAAGATGTAGTAGTTCCTGAAATGTATCTTGACCAAACAACTAGAAAGGTTCTCACCATGCAATGGGTTGAGGTAATGTCTGTATTTTGTTGTAAATGTAAGGTTTCAATGTGAGGCATTGCACCATCCTTTTCGTCACACTTTGAACACATGGAATATAGTTGTCTCATCTCCACCGATTCTACGTTTAACTATGGTATTAGAGGAAGTTGACATATATAATCAGTGATAAGATGTAAAAGCTGCATGCTCAGTGTGCTGTTCTGTATGAAAAGTGGTAATTTTCTGCCTATCAATGAATACAGGGTCAAAAGCTTGCGGAGGTGAAGGATCTATACATAATTGAGGTCTATTCCTGAAACTATTTCCTGTAGGTTGTTTGCCTAATAAGTTTCATACATCAAGTTAACGCACAGTTCAACAGGTGGGAGTTTATTGCTCATTCAATCAACTTCTGGAGTTTGGGTTCTATCATGCTGATCCGCATCCTGGAAACCTACTTCGAACATATGATGGGAAGCTAGCTTACTTAGGTACTTTTTTTTTCCTTGATCCAAATTATGGGTGAATTATGTATTGGTACTTTCAAGGTAAATCTGGGTGTCATTATTATTTTTTTTGTCTCTTATTATTTTCATTTTCATAGAGAGAATCTCGCATGCTTGTGAACTGGATCAAAAGTTTATTTACACCTAAAAGCTTAAGTTTATGATACGTATCATTTTTTTAAAGATAAATGTGCATTTGATTTCATTTGTCCACCTGTCTTTAGGGAATATATTAAATGTTATGTTAATGCCTGAAATATATATATATATATATATAATCTTCAGACTTTGGCATGATGGGGGAATTCGAAGAAGAACTTCGTGATGGCTTCATTGAAGCTTGCCTTCATTTAGTAAATCGTGATTATGATGCACTAGCCAATGATTTTGTAACCCTCGGGTATGCTGCCTATGTTCTCAGTCGGCTGCTCTTAGGCTTGTTACAAAATGTATATTAATGATCTGCAACTTTAATGCAATAGGCTTCTTCCGGCAGCAGCTGACAAGGATGCTGTTACAAAGGCATTAACAGGTTTATCCCATCCTAAGATAGAACTTGGTCACTTAGATATGTAGATAAGTGTATTTCTTATCCTTGGTCTTTTAAGTTTGGCAAGTTCTTCTCAACAGCCACACACTATTTCTCAGTTTCTAATGTGAAATAGTACTTAGGTGTCTTTCAAGATGCTGTCGCAAAAGGAGTTCGCAACATAAGCTTTGGGGATCTACTTGGAAATTTGGGAACCACCATGTACTTATTCTTCTATAAATTTTATACTATATACCTGCACCTTCAACAGCATACCATCTTCATTGTGTTATTTAAGCCGGAATTTGTAATTTGATGAGTATTGATGTAAAGAGGTACCAAAGTGTTGTGCTCATGATCATATTTTGGGGCCCTTTGGCTTCACTTCTTACCTCTCTACGGGCATTTTTCTTGCAGTTGAAGTATCTCTGAATCAATCATTAGATTAAATTGTCTATTTTACGTCTGCAGGTACAAATTCAAATTCAGAATTCCTCCTTATTTTTCTCTTGTCATCAGAAGGTAGTTCTGTACTTTTTGTTTCCTATTATGTGCCATTCACAGAAAATGTTATATCGAAAGATCTAACATCTAGTTAATGTAAAAAACATTTTGAGTTCCTAACTAAAGAATTGTGCATATGGACAATGCCCAGTCTTGCTGTTTTGGAGGGAATTGCCATCAGCTTCAACCGGGATTACAAAGTTTTGGGCAGTACATACCCATGGATTGCCCGTAAAGTTCTCACTGACAGCTCACCAAAGTTAAAATCATCTTTACAGTCTCTTCTTTACAAGGTAACTGCAGACAGCTGGTTAGCTTTATACATAATTAACATGTTACCTACAAGACTATGCACTTTCTTTAATGCTGTCATCTTATAATAAGATAATCAAAACTGATTTTTAGTTTTCAAACTAGGATGGATTCTTCAGGATTGATCGATTAGAGGGTCTCTTAACAGAGGTGAGATGGTATACATAATTATATGAAGTCTTTTCTTTGTTCAATGTCATTCTGCCGAAGGAAAAATTCTGTCTGGCATCTGTCTGTTCTCTTGTAGATACTTCATGATCACAAATGCCCCTGGAACCGTCTACTCTTATTAAAATAGGAATGTAACTATCTATACCTCATGATCACCAAGCCTTTTCTATCAGAAACACTTATCCTACATCATGTCCATCATATATTGATCCTGTCAAGATCGCAGGTGGTTAAAATAATGACTTTACTTAAATCACCATAGGTCATCTGTAACCTTCAGCTTCAATATTTGGCTTGCCGAAGCTGGAGGCTTAAACAAAATTATAGTGATTCAACTTTCTAATATTCTGTTTCCCTTGAGGCAGTCATTGCGTGCCAGGACCGAGCGAGCCTTAGTTATGAAGCAGGAAGGAGATGACACAAAGATGGCTATCAAACAAATTCTGTCCTTTACTTTGAATGAGAGGGTATTCCTTCTTGTATATCATTCTCGGTTTAGCTGGAAATGGGATGCTGGGCTGAGATATCACTCTCAAAAGTATTTGGTTTTATGTGTGTAGGGTGCATTTGTGAGAGAAATACTGCTTGACGAATTGACAAAGGTAAGATTTTGCAGCACCTTTTCTGAATTTCATGAGTATAATTTACCCTATCCAGTTAAATATTCATCGATTTGTACTGGTTCTGCTTACTAACTCTGCTTATCAGAACAATGTAGAAAGAATTGACAGCATCCATAGTTGCCTCATGGCCACTAGTTTTGAATATTCAAAGCATCGAAAATAGCATGCATATTTTGAAAGTATTGTACAAGATTAGCTTTACTTCGAAGCTATTACATACAATCTATGCTCTATACTGGTTCTGCTTACTCACTCTGCTTATCTCCGAATTTAAGCATTTTCCCTTTACATCTTGTGCTTAATTAACTAACCTACTTCACCCGAGTGATGCAATAGTTTTACGGCCAATGCTTATTATCAGCTTCTGTTATTCGTTGCAGGGCGTGGATGCGCTTGGCATAGCGACCATGGATTCAATACAATCGACCCTGACTGCAAACCTTCCTTTCAGACCGAAACCTCCTTCTTCTTTGACTGATGAAGACATCGCCAATCTGAGAACACTGCGACGCCTCATGCAACTACTTTCCGGGCTTCAACAGGCTGAAATTTCTCAAGTGGTAAGAGATACTCATGAGGAAAATTTTTGCTTCATTTAAGATCAAGATTGCATATTTTTGCCTCCAAAGATTATCTATTCATATATATATAGATATAGATATATGTATTTTTAGCCCCACATGTGGCACCATTATCATTTCGGTCATTTAAGTAAAAAAGAAAAATAGTCTTATATCTAATTCATAAGTGTTGAAAAAAGTCATTGATTCCGGAATATTATCATGTGCCGACATTGAAATTACAGAAGTGATATAGGCTAGTCAAGTGGCAATTTTTTGCATAAAATTTTTGACGTAAATTTAAGTTTTGAATAAATATACAAAAATTAAAACCATGTCAATATTTGGTGCTAAAAATTATTATGTGTACACTACATGTCAGTTCCAGACATGTCGAAATATTCCTTTATCAGAGGACCTTTTCAGCGATTATGGATTAGATGTAAAACTATTTTTATACATATTTTACTTAACCTACCAAAATGATAATGAGTTTTACGTACAAAACTAAAAATACATTTATTCATATATATATATATATATATATATGTTCCCTCTCCATCAATACATAACAGATGTGCATGGATAGAAGATCTACTGAAAAGGGAATAATTGGTTGTATGTGGTACGTACGTTGTTAATGCTTTTCACAGCAGGATGTAAAAGGAATCGACGCATCCAACAGGCGAAAGCAGCCTTCAAATGAAGCATCAGCAGCATTGATTCCTACTGGAATGCTTTCTGGTCAAGAAATGCTACCACTTCTCTCAGTTATTGTTGAGGTAAGAATGAAGCATCTATCTATTTGGATTTGAAATTGTGATGCTGTTTGACTGAAAATATAGTGGGAATAAATAGTCCATAAAAAATAAACACTCTAGCCATCAAGATTGACCTTGAGTTTAAAACAGTACCTAATCCTATTTTCAGTTTGTTTTTTGTTTACCTTTTGGATTTGAAATTGTTTTCAACAGAAAATAAGTTTGAAATACTATGGCTGTCGTTATAGTAAGAGTTTTGAATTTAATTTTTTTTTAATTGAAAATTAATATTTAGTTTGAAATATGTTTATTAAAAAAAATTTAATATATTTTTGGATTAAAATATTATATGATAAATGATATAATTGATGACGTAGAAATAAAATATTGATTGCAACTTACATGCAATTGTGCAGTATCATCATCGATATTTGACATTATTGATATAAACAATCTAATGCGCGGGTATGTACTGTCTCCAGCTCCCGCAGGATTCACAACAGCAGTTGTTAAGACTGCCAGCAGATTTTGCCGGAAAACTAGTGTCCCGTGTTGTGGCCAGGATCATAAGACGGGCATTCCTGTAAGCAGATCTACTCTAACCGGCGTCACCTTTAATAAAAAGAAATGAGAGCCTTAGGAGCAACTGTTGAGACCGATTTCCTTTCGAATTATGTGTATATATATATATATTCATAGAAGCCTTTATTTCAATTGTAATTGGATAAATACATCACCATTCCACATATCAATATCTACCCTATAGGTCTCGTAAGGGGTGACTTGGTGATATGAAGTATCTTCGTGACTATGAGGTTATAGGCTTAAATCCCCGATGCCTCCAGATCTTTATTTGTTATATATGATTCACCTAATATAATTTGTCTTATCGAGCCTAATTTACAATTTATTAGGTTCAGTCGGAGGCTAGCACAGTACTGACGGCACAACAAATGTAATAAAAATAGTCATGTCCATAAAACAACACATAACAACAATAATTTACATAACGTATACACTACCGTTGACTTCAACATGTGTCAACTAAAACTACTGAGTTGTATGGATAATCAACATGATGCTAAATAGACCCTGTAGCTTGTTCTAGAGCTTAAGGTTTACTACAATCTATCATCAATGCAACTTTGGTAATGCAGACTTACCATCAGCTGTTCACATGAGTCAATAAAACATAACAAAAATCAAAATCCATTTATCCGCCGGACTTACAATATAATGCAACTTTGGTAATGCTACATACTGTTTCAACAAAATTGCATCCTCACAAGCATCATAGGATAAAATCCAAGCCAATGAAATATAATACCAAATTGGCTCTATGCCTATCTATGTTTGCAAGTTATTAAGTTTGGCTAAAGATTTTACCCAGAGCGCACCTAAAGGATAGAGACTGCGGATTTCCATGTTATTAAAAAAAATAATAATAAAATAACAGATAATGAAATCAAAATGCTCATAAACAATATATACTCTTCTTCTTTTTTTTTAATCTTTCTTTTCTTAACAAAAAGCTCTTTCATTAGCTTCTGGCCAGGGCACCAGAAGAAATCTTCCCATTTACATACACTGATGGTTATTTCAAACATAAACATCATATATATATATATCATCTGCCAACCAATCTCAACGAAGATCGATTCAGCATCCATAAAACAGCACACAAAGCCCCAAGTAAAGAAAAACACATAAAGAAACCAATTCTAGATTTTCCCAAGCTCCTTCTCGAAGTTGCAGTTGCAGGGGTATTACCTGCAGCAGCAGCAGCAACATTCGTGTTCCGGGGATTGATTCTTATCCTTCTAAAGCTAGACAATCTCCCGAGAGCCCTATTTACCAAAGCACTTTCAGAAGCCGAAGCAGGAGCTGCTGGTATAGACTCCACAAAGGACCAGAGTGAAGTCGAGAACCATGAGTCTGTACCATCGTCCTGTTTCCCACTTCCATTTTCATAACCATGGGGATTTTGAATTTGGTTTTGGTTTTGGTTTTGGTTTTGGTTTTGATCAAAAACACCTAAGAAATGCCAAAAAAAAACCCGCAAAGAACATTAGTGTACAAATCTAGCATTCGGTATAATAGAAGAAGAGCTCTTGCAGCTGGCTCAAACTCCCCCATTTCCACTTTGGGCACAAGAGTTATCGCCAACTTGAAGATGACATGGTCTTTACACATACCATCCATCTGAACAAGAGCTCCATTGAATCAGTCGACATATCAAAAGATTACAAGTTAACATTGTTTAATATTCTACCGAAGAATTCAATTTTTAGTATCTGACACAATTTTAGAAGAAGCTTGTAAAATAGTTATGATAGCTTCCACCAGTTTCAGTACCTGAGCTTGATGGAGGAATGAACCCTTGATATGCTTCTGCACTTGTTACAACACTGCTGCTTGGCTCGTCACCCCACAGCTGATAGTTGATTTCGTTGGAATTGATGTATTGTTGCCCCGGGAGGTGGTTGTTAATACTGTCGTGGTTATTCTGGTCGGCGCTTGAGATTATGTTCATTACGCCACTGTCAAAATTGTTCATCTGTGGCTGCAACATCTGTCTAGACTCAACTCCTGCCTCGGAACAGAAGAAGGATGGATCTTCGAACTGATCAAACTCAGAAAAACCACCAAATTCATCGAACTGCAACTTATCCATGGGTTTATCAGGAACTTGCGTGGTTGGATCCGGGCCTATTAGATCATCCATTTCAAGAAAGTCCTCTTCAATAAAAAGATGATCTTGCACGTTACTGATTGGGGCTGAGTGCACTTCACTTGCCTCTTTAAACTGCAACTGAGTCATGCCCGACTGTGTAAAGTCAATACCAGCAGGCACATTTTCTTGATGGTCAAACAGTTCAATCCCTGGTAAAGAGACGTCTCTTGAGGAATGGTAAGGTAAAGCCCCAGAAGTTCCATCATTGTCGACGAATTCGCTTAAAAAGTCATTATCAAAATCTATAGGCTGAATAGGAATTGGCTCGTCTGCTATTCGGTTCAAGATCTCATCCAGCTCGTCTTCTACGGGTTTAGCTACATTAGTATTACTATTAGGCCCGATTGCATTTACCTCCTTCACAGGCGTGACCAATTCAATGGGGTTTATTAGCTGAACTTCATTTTCATCATCAGCCCAATCCTCTTCCCTGAACAGAGCACCATATTGCTCGCCATTTTTAGGACCGGGCCCGCTTTTCTTGAAAACCTTGTACAGAGCGTAGTATTCCTTGACATCCTGGCATCTCTTGAGCTCCTCCTCATCCATTGTATACTCGTGCATCACCCAGTCTGTTCGTTCCCCATTGGGTGCTCGTCCTCTGTAGAACACAAGTGTCTTCTTTATCCCGACCGCACGAGAGCCACTTGTAATAACACGGTCCTTACCAGTGGCTTTCCAATACCCATGCCCTGTCGCCCTATTGGACCTCGCTCCATTCGGGTATCTTCGATCCCTAGGAGTGAAGAAGAACCATTGTCTGTCACCTGTTTTCAGCTTTGACATCCCTGTAATTCATATACGCCAAATGTAAGTAACATTATACAATTAAGGAAATAAATATAATATAATTAACAACAACTAATCAAAATCATCATTCAATCAAGAAAATTGATGATATGCAAGGAGGCTACTGTAGCTTAAAGGCGAAACAACAAACACAAATATAGTGAAATCCATAACTCAGATTCCTCATAAGCAAAAGCTTAACTACATCAACAAACAAAGCATGATCATTCAAAAATCATATCCCTTTCTCGATTCTAATTCACTCAAAACTTTATCAAATCAAATGCAGGCTGGAAACATACATCACCAACTCAATTTAGTCACTAGAATTATTTCAGCTACCAAAATACGTTAACCATGAAAAATATCTCTAATTCTTAATGAATAACCCCATGAACACACAAGAAATGATAAACTCAAAACCCTAGCAAATAAAATGGCAGCATTCCTTCTTAGTTTTGAGTTTTCGGAACCATTCTGTAGTCACTATTTCAGCTACCAAAATACCTTGACCGGGAAAAATATCTCTAATTCTCCATGAGAAAGTACATGAACACGTAAGAAGTTCGTAAATTAAAAAGCCAAAACAAAACCTAATCAGAACACAAAAACACGAAAAGTCAACGATGAATCCAATCGGCAAAACCGAAAGGAATGAAGAAAACATAGAAAAAAACTCATCCAGATTATAGAATCAAGCAAACGGAGTAGTGAAAGTTGAATCAAACCAGGCAGATCCTCCGGATCCCACTTGTAGACATCGGTCTCGGCGATGACATCGAAGCGGTGGCGCTTGCAGGAGATCTTCCTCTTGAGATAGTAAAGCACGAGCTCCTCGTCCGTGGGATGGAATCTAAACCCCGGCGGGAAGATCTTCCCGTCGGAGAGACAATCGGAATTCACCATCGAAGAGCAGAGCAGAGCAGACCTAATCACAAAATTGGGGTTTTCAGTGGTTGAAAGAGAAAACCTAACGCTGAACGAATGGTAGAATTATAAACTAAAAAAAATAATTAAATTTAGGGAAATTTCCCGGAAAAAGAAAACGGAAAAATGTTACGGTGTTGCTGCGGTGCACCTGAGCCGGTGGGCTTTCGTTGACTCCGTTGACCGTATTGTCAATTTCTCATTTTTAATATTGTATTACGTTCATCTTATTTATTTTATCATTTTTTAAAAAATGTATATATATTTTTTAATATTATTTTAAAATTTTAAATTTTTTTATTTTAATTATTTATTAATCATATTTTTAAAAATTTTCATATTTACAGTAAATAATAAGACACCGTAATCAAAATAGAGAGAATAATAAATCAATTAATTTACAAACATTTATTTTCTAGTAATTGTTTATTTCGAATTTTTTTATTTAATAAAAAGTATCATTATACTTTATACAGTAATACAAAATATTCCCTCCGTCCCAGAAGAAGCGTCTTATTGAGAGTAATAATTAGGGGTAGTTTAGTGGGTATAAAATATAATGTAAAAGACTAAAATGTCTTTACAAGGATTTTAAAAAGTATGTTAGAATAATAATTAGGGGTAAGTTTAGAAAAGTATGAATAATTTTGTTATAAAATTGGGACCACGGTTGCTAAAATAAGAAAACATAACAATTGTTTTGGGACGGACGAAAACGGAAAAATAAGACAACTTTTTTAGGATGGAGGGAGTAATACTTTACGTGTCTCATATCTATTTATTCATTTACTTTTTGTACGAAGTTTTAAAAATATTAGTATTGTATGATATAAAGATAATGATATTTGTGTAATATATTTGTAACGTTAGGTAGATAGTACAGTAACTAAAAAAATAAAATTAATATTTTGTTATACAACGGACCCAAATAAAAAAATAGATAAATTTGTAAACGACGGATGAGAAAATCATTAAAATCAAATGAATTAGAGTAGAAATTTATTTATTTTTTATTTCTATTATATTATTACTTATAAAAAGTACTAAAATTTTAAAATCTACTCTCTCCGTCCCATGTAATATGAGTGTATTACCGTAAACACGAGAATTTAGGTAAAGTATAATTAGTATGCAATTAAAAAGTGTATTAGTAAAAATAATTATTATTTAGTAAAAATAATTATAGATTAAGATAAGTAAATAGTTTAATTAAAATTAAGAAAATTATAAAATTTAAAATTTAAAATGCGATTAAAATGCATAATTATATTTCCAAAATAGAAAAGACAAGTTATGTGGGACGGACGAAAATATAAAATATGAATAAATTATGTGGGACGGAGGGAATATTTAAGAGTAAATAATACATATGGAAGCGAAGGAAAAAAAATATACTTATAATTTTATTTTACCATCTAAATTGTATATATTTTATTAAAATATATTTAATAGATAATTAAATATATAATTCTAATTTCTCTATTCATACATTATATTATCAATTAAATAAATCTCGCTAATTTAACTTCTAAGTACAATTTGAATTAGTAATCAAACATGGCATGGATATTTTTGTTTTGATATTTTAAGCTATATTTTATATTTATAATGTTAAAATTAAAATATTTTAATTATATTTTTTACCAAAATTTGTTAGACGCACTTCTTGATTAATATTATAAAAATATTTATAATTCACACAAAATATAATATGTATATTTATTTATTAAAATTATTATTTTTATATTAATTATACGAGTTCTCCATTTCTATAATAATATGTGGAAATAAAGTTTTATTTACTAAAATATATTGTAAGATAATAAAATAAAAGGTAAAAAATTTCAATATAAAAAATTATTAATTTTAGTCTTATTATAAATAATTTCAACCAATTTTGGTCATATTATAAATAATTTTAATCAATGTTGGTTTCATCGTTAAAAAACTAACGAAAACTGATGACGTTGACGTAACGGAGTTGACGTGGTAGTTGACCTGAAAAGTACACGGTCATGTATATTTAAATGTACAATTATATACGGTCATATTATTATACAGACATGTTTAATTCTATTTTTTATGTTTTGGTCTAAATTTTTATTTATTTTATATCTTTTAAAAATATATTTTTTGAATTTATAATAATTGATACGGTTGAAATACAAAAAAAATCAACGGTAATCCTAAAATAATTTAATATATAAATATTAATTCAAATATAAAAATTTATAAAATATTTTTTTGAAAAAAATTTATCTAAAATTCTATTATTAATAAAAAAAAAAAAAAAATTCTTTTATAAATATTCAATTATACAGCTATTTTTTATTTTGTTTATATTATAGCATTAAAATTTTATTTTACATTTCATTACAATTTCAAAGTAGACATATAATTGTATTGAAATATACAATTGATTTTTAATACTATAATATAAAAAAATAAAAATTAGTATTGTAATTGAATATTTTAAAGATAATTTTTTTTTTTAAATAATAGAATTTTAGACAAAATATTTCAAAAAGAACATATTCAATAAGTTTTATATTTAAACTAAAATGATACATTTTAATTATATTATGATTACTATTTATTTTATTTTTTTTTATTTTAACTATATCAATTATTCTAAATTCAAAATATTTTTTTTAAAAAAAATATAATAAAAAAAAATTAGACCAAAATAGAAAAGTACACGACAGTGTAAAATTATATATAATCGTATAATAACATGACCGTGTATAATTGTACACTGAAATATATATAGTCGTGTGACAACATGGCCGTGTACTTTCCATGTCAGTTATCACGTCAACTTCATTAGTTTTTTTTTACCATGAGACCAAAATTGATTGAAATTATTTATAATATATTTAAATTAATAATTTTTTTATATCGAAACTAAAATTGATTTTTTTTTTTTTTCTAAAATAAAACAATAGAGATTATTATTATTGTAGTTTGAATTAATTTTGCAATGGTGATGGATGCATTGAATAGATTAATATGCATATGATTGGGCAGACAGCATCATCACGTTCTCCCAAATCGACACGTGTCATTATCACTTTTTCTTTCCATAAACGCGTGAGAGAAAGTTTGACTTTTCCTTCTCCTTAGTCCTTTCTACTTTATACAAATATATATATTTGTTGGGTTCGGTTTTGTTATTTATTTATTTTTTTTTTATAAATGACTGTTTCAGTCCGTCTTATATAATGTCATATTTTATTTTTTTTTAATTTTTATCTGTTTTATATACTCTCTTTATCCATGCAAAAAGTATCTATTTATTTTTTAGCGAAATTTAAAAAATAATAATATTTTAATTATAGTGGATAGGTAAAAGTAGTGTAAAGATATTTTTGCTTTTATTTTTTTTTGAATAAAAGTAATGATATGATGTAAAGGAGTATTTGCGGAGAAAATGAGGTATTTAGTGAAATAGTTACTTTTTAATTGGACGTTCCAAAATAGAAATATGTATATTTTCTAACTGGACTGAGGGAGTATTATATTATTTTTAAAAAAAATATTATACATTATAATTATATTTTAAATTTTTAAATTTTTATCAATTATTTTTATTTTTATCAGTTATTTTAATTTTAATATATAATTATTTATATTATTATTGTAATTAATTTATTAATATATTTTTAATTATCTATTAATCATATTTTCTTAAATTTTCGTTTCTGCTGTAACGCTAATTATAATACCTAGAATGGAAGGTGTATGTTATATGTTATTTAATATATATACAAATTGAGAATGATATTGATAATGTAAAAAATAATACCTCTTCATCATATTTATCTATTCCTTTATTTTTTTTTGAACGGATTTTTAGAAATATTAGTATTATATTGAAATATAATATAAATAAAAGTAAAAATACTAAATTAACCTTATTGGTATTGTACGATACAAAGGTAATGACTTCAAAATAGAAAATAGATAGATTTTTAAGGGACGGAGGGAGTATTATCTTTGTTTTATGAAGAATATAATTTGTTTATTATTGTATTTATATTGAAAATACTTTTATATTTGTATAATTTATTACACAAAAATAACTTAAAACAAAACATCATTGTTCATCCAATATTTTTAGATTAATTGATTTTTTGTGTGTAATATAAAAAATTGAACAAAAATATAAAATTATTATTTTAAATTGAATATTTTAAATTTTGAAATAAGTATTTGAATTTTTTTTTTATAAAAGATATTTTATACTCCCCTGTCCTGGTGAAAGAATGGCATTTGCTTTTTACACGTAGATTTTTTAATATTATTATTATATTGGATTATAGAAAAAGACAAAAATACCCCTATTAGTACAGTGTAATATAAAAATAATGACATTTGTGTAATATATTGTGAGTTGGAAATGTATTTATTATGATAGGTAAGTAGTACAATTACTAAATTAGGAAATAATAATCTTATTTTGAGACGGATAAAAATAAAAAATGACAACTTTTTAATTGAACGAAAAGAGTATTATTTATTATTATTTTACGGATTCGCAGCTAAAAATTAGCTTTGGGTGTTGGGTGAACAAAGCTTTTATTTGTAATAAATAACTACAGTTAAATTAAATAGTCTTAATTTATAATATAACATAAAAATTTATATGTTTAAATAAAATAAATTATTTTATTCAAATAAACCATAAAATTATTATTTATTATAGAATTTAAATAATGTTATGAAATTACCAATTGCAAAAGATATATTTTTGATGCATGTCTAACTATCACTTTTATTTTTTATTTATTTCGTTGGCAGAAAAATATATTTTACACGTTTGCAAAAATTGTCATTTTTGTCTTCTGGTTGTGCGTAGAATGACCGTTGTGTGAATATGACGCAGTGTCGAAAGACAAAAATAACGACTTTTGCAAATGTGTAAGATATATTCATCCGTCTCACTTACCGTATCCATTTTTTTATTTCCGTATGTCCTACTTATTATGTCAAGTTTTTTTTAAAGAAAATAACTATACATTTTAATCTCATTTTAAATTTTTTTATTTTAATTAAACTAATTAGTTATCTTAATCTAAAATTATTTTTATTATACGATAATTATTTTTACTAATATATTTTTAATAATTTACTAATTATATCATTTTTAAATTCTCGCGGTTACAACAATGAAGACAACACAAATAATGAAGACAATGAAGACAACACAGATAATTATTTTCAACGATAATGAAGACAACACAAATCCAAAATATTTATAAAAGATATTAAAAATAAAATTATAATAGATTATTTTTTCATAATATCATTAAAAAATAAAATATAAATTAATTATAAAAAATATATAACAAAATTTTGTATTATGTTGTTAAATATTCGAAGGGAGAAGAGTCACGCCTTTGATTTCTTATTTGAAAATTGAATGATTAATATAAAATACTCCCTCCGTCCCGGATAACTTGACCACGTTACTGTAGATACGAGAATTTAGGAGGGGTGTAATTAGTAGATAATTAAGAATGTATTAGTGAAAATAATTATCCTATAATATATATAATTATAAATTAAGATTAAGATAACTAATTAGTTTAATTAAAATTTAAAAAAATAAAATTTAAAAATTTAAAATGAGATTAAAGTGTGTAATTATTTTCCAAAAAAGGAAAGTGATATGGTATGTGGGACGGACAGAAACGGCAACGTGGACATGATATATGGGACGGAGAGAGTATATTTTAAAAGTGGTTCAGTAAATCTTAAATATAAAAATAATACTTCATCCGTCATAATACAAAAGTCTTATTTACTATTTTTGTCCGTCTCAAAACAATAGTCTTATTTGCATAAATAACCGTATAACTGTATAACTACCTTTACTATGTTATTATTATTACACAATTGCCACTACCTTTTACACTAATACACTCACAAGGGCAAAAATATCTTTTACCTATATTTTTTATCCACTATCAATATTCTTTACATGTCGTGTCCAACACAACCAAGACTATCCACGGAGGAAGTATATTATTTCCACTTACTGTTAATTTATCCATTTTCGTTTTGCGTCATTGTTTTTAACATTAAAAATATTATTATATTTGTATAGTTTTTTATACAAATATTATTACATTAGTATTATAAGACACTAATAAAAATATTTTTTTGTCATTTTCTCTTAATTTGTATTGTATTTTAATATAATAATTAATATTTAAATTATAACATGCAAAAAATAAATGGATAGATTGACGGTTAACCGAAGTAGTAATATATTTTTAAATATAGCTTAAAATATTTAATATATCTATACATAGTTTAATGTATATATTTCTAAATAATATTATTAGATGCATTTACAATTAACACCACTTGTATAAAACATAATAATATCATAATAAATTATTATTAATTCACCAAACTTCACTTTTTCATAAAATATCGTACCGCAAATCAAATGCATCGACTACTTCGGATGGAGTAGTAGATTATTATTATTATTATTATTATTATTTTACTATTTGTTTTTAGGGTAAACTGTTTTTTTAGTCTCGTAACTTGACGTTCTTATCATTTTGGTCCCGTAAGTGGAGCCTATCGCAAATTAGTCCCATAAGTGAAAAATTTTCGTTGTTTTAATCTTTCGGCACCGGAGATATCCGCGTGGCTCGCCGGAGGTGACGTGTCCGCTAGGTGTCCCGCCAGGTCAGTGACACTTTATTTTTCATTTTTTTAATTTTTTTATTTTTAAATTGGACTAAATAAAAAAATATAAATAAAATTAAAAATAAATTTAAAATAAGTTTTTAAAAAATTCTAAAAAATGAAAAAAAAAATAAAAATCTACGTGTCCGCCACGTTACCTCCGGTGAGCCACGCGGGCGTCTCCGGCGCCGGAGGACTAAAACAACGAAAAATTTTCACTTATGGGACTAACTTGCGACATGCTCCACTTACTAGACTAAAATGATAAAGGGATCCAGTCAGGGACTGAAAAAACAGTTTACCCTTGTTTTTATTTAAGTGGTATAGTTGGTATTTAAAAATAAAAATTAATATATGTGATTAAAAATTTTAAACATGTATTTAAATATCTTAATAAAATATATATAATATAGGAGTATTTATAGAGAAATAAATATCTACATAATAAAAAACACATTTATTTATTTATTAACAAATAATTTTATATAAAAAATATTTTAAATGTACATAAAAAATATTTATTTATTAAAAAATATGAATAAACGAGTTTTGAGTAAGTTTTACATAATATATATTTAATTAAATTTATTTATATTTATTAATTATATTTAAAATTTATCATTTTTTAAAAATATAAATGTGTTAATTGTTGTAGATAAACTAAAATAAAATACATGTCGGACTTTTTATAAACATACGACACATTTATTATTATATAAAAAAAAAGCACGCCACTTTAGTATAGAAAGTTTGTGTTGTATGTAATAATATTATGTAATGCTTGTACATATAACTGTGTGTTGACTTTTTCAAATCAACATTCTAATCATCCTCGTTTGTTTATTTGATTTTTTGGAGAGCACAATTTTTTAAAAAAATTATTATCAAAATTGCAAAATGAAAACATAATGTTTTGTTTATTTGATGTTTTTGGATAGCATGATTATATTTTTAAATATTATCAAAATAATATAGTATTATATTACGTTAATACAGTATATATAATCTACATTTTATTTATTTCAAAAAATTATTAATTTAATATAAAATTAGTATTATATAGAGGGTGTCTTTCTGTAACTATCAAACTCCAATTTTTAAATAATTAGATTTTATATTTTTCGAAAAAAAAAAAAATTCTCACAATATTTTTATCATTAGTTTATTTTAGTATTAAATTCAAATCAAAATTCTTTAAAATAAAAGAAAAAAAAACAGACCTATAAATAATCAATGTGTTTGTTTGGAGGATTTTACCCCAAACCCACTATTTATTTATTTATTTTTTAATATCAAATTAAATACTTATTTTTTATTTTTATACTCTTATACTAAAATATTAATTTTACGTTCAAAATACCACATTAATACCTATTTATATACCGTTGTTAAAATTCAATTTTTTTCCTATTCAAATTTCAATATCAAAATCCAAAACTCCCGTACAAACACACCCATGACTTCTTATTGACAGATATTATTATTATTATTATTACGTAATTTATTTATTTATATATATTATTTTTTTCCAGCTAATCGTCTGCCATGGCTATAAACCTTCGCCGTTCGTACATACCCACAGTTCATCCATTCCCCGGCAACAGATTTGGATGTTCTTCCCGCACATTCATCCATCTTCTCTCCCAATCTGCACTAGCCTGTATCTCTGTAAGCACCCTCTCTCTCAATCTGCGCATCTGGTTTTGCTTTGCAATTTTGATTTTAGGGCATAATGATGGTGTGTATGTCTTCCAGCACCATTAATGCTGGATTTATTGCATTTATGCAGTACTGGATCTTTCACTCGATTGATGTATGGGAAGTGGTTTTTGTTTTCTAGGTCATTTTGATTTTTCCCTTTTTAGGAATAATACTTACTGCGCGCTGGACATGATTTTTTGAATCGTCGATGCATTTTATCGTATCAGGAATGTGTTTTAGATTCATTTTTAGAACAGATTCTTGCTGTATTAGCTCAATACTAATTCAAAAAGATGATTGATGCTGAAAATTGCTGATGTTCATATGCTCGATTAGAAATTTTAGATTCTTCTGTAGTTGATTACTTTTTCCCCCCTTTTCAGGATACAAACGATGTGCAGTATTATACAGACAGTAATTTGATAATTCTTCAGTTGAGATTGGAGGAGAAGATAGATAGATACAATATACATACATACATATATATATATATTCAGATAGGTGTAGGAAGAATGGTGTTTTGGGAAGGATATATCAGTGATGAATCAATGGGCACATTTGCTCCATTAGTCGTGTATTGGTTGTACGCCGGATTTTATCAGCTCCTCCCGCCTCTCGACAATTATCGGCTGCACACGAGAGCAGAAGAAAATGATAAAAATTTGGTGCCGTTGAGATCTGTCATCAAAGGTGTTCTTCTTCAACAGTTTGTTCAGGCCATTGTTGCTCAATTGCTCTTCTTGGTAATTGCATTCGACTACTTTTTCTTCTCGAAGGTTTTAGCTGTAATATACATGCACGTACTAGATGCTTTGATTAAGGTTGTCGACATGATTCCCCTTGTGAGATCTAGGAAGAAAATAGATTTTGTCGCATATACATGTGTGGTTCTTTAAGGTTTGAATTTGGGTTTGAGACTTGAGAATACTAAAAATTTGAATCCCTTAAATGAATGGATGTTCCTTATAAATCGGGATGGTTGCATAGTAGGAAAAAAATTGAAATCAAGCTTCGTAAAGAACATAATTCTAACATTATGTTAGAATCCCTTAAATGGATGGATGTTCCTTTTTCGTCGATAACGAGCTTTTCTTAATTTTGGTGTTCGAGATTTGATCCAATGAGGCATTTAATCTATGAATCTTCACGAACATGTTGCGGATTCATTTCCTTAATTCGACAGCTTTTGTTGTTTTCCATTATTTAGTAATGCAAACATAAAGGCGAAAGAAAATTTTAACCGCGATATCGAGTGTGTTTGTCTGTAGGTTTGGATTTTTGAACAGTAAAGAGTTGAATTTAAATAGTTGTTTGATTTGATATAAAGAGGTTGATGCGTTGTTTTGAATGCAAAATAGATTTGTAGTATATAATTATTTGATTTGATATTTTTTAAGAAAAAAAAAATCTGAATAGTAAAATATCTGGTAAAACCCATAAAAGAACACAACCTATATGACTCTTGTGATTGGTTCTTTCTTTACATTTTGACATTTTGGTGCTTAGTGTTGCAGGTAACTTCGAATTCAACTTTGTTGAGTCCCACCGTGCAACCTTCGCTACCCGTCCAAGCGTTGCAATTCATAATCGGGATGTTCGTAATGGACACATGGCAGTACTTTGTGCATCGATACATGCACCAGAACAAGTTCCTCTACAAGCACATACACTCTCAGCATCACCGGCTGGTCGTCCCGTACGCCGTTGGCGCACTTTACAACCATCCGTTGGAAGGGCTGTTACTCGACACATTCGGTGGCGCCCTCTCCTTCCTTGTCTCCGGAATGACTGCTCGCACCTCCGTCTACTTCTTCTGCTTCGCCGTTGTCAAAACCATCGACGATCATTGCGGGTTGTGGCTTCCGGGAAATATCTTCCATCTCATTTTCCAAAACAACACGGCTTACCACGACGTACACCATCAGCTCCAAGGTACCAAGTTCAACTACTCCCAACCGTTCTTCCCGATCTGGGACAAAATCCTCGGGACTTATGTTCCGTACACACTCGTAAAACGGCCCGAAGGAGGATTCGAGGCGAGGCTGAAGAAAGACTAGGTAATGATTTTACATAATGTGCCCGTTTTATTTATCGTTCCCTATTTTTCTGTTGTGCCCATCTTTTGTAGGATTCGGAAACTTGGTTTTAACTCTTGGTTCGTTATCAGAGTGCTCGGTTAGTTCGTGTTTTTTCTTTCGAGTAACTCACCGGACGGAGATCGAATCAAAACTGAGTTAGGATTTGAGGGTAAGAGATGTTCTTGGTTTGATGATCAGTTTCTTTGAGTTTCTTGTGCTGAAACTTGTGATCTGTTGTATCTTTGGTGTGAATTTTGGATTTCAAGATTATATATATATATATATATATATATGTATGTATGTATGAAGAATGAGACTGAGGCATTTCGAGGATAAATCAGCGAACAAAAAATAGATAAACAATACATAGTTTTATGAAAGTAGTGTATACCTATGGATCATTTCATACTTTTGCATATGTATTATATTGACACATAAACAACATATGCTTTTCTTTTACATGTGTTGTATAAAGAGTAGCTCATGCGCTAAATTAACTATTGCATGGGTTCTGTGATATTGTATTATATTAATATAAATAATGTGCTGTTAATAATAATAATAATAATACTGTGTGTTATGTTTGGTAGTATAAACTGTGTGCTATTCAACACAATGTTAAATTTTATCTTCGGCACCTACCCATTAACATAAATATAAATACTGTGTTTGTGCCATTGGTGAAGAAATTAGCATATATATCTAATCCAGGTTGTTAGATTCTTGTGTAGTGTCTTTATTTATTTGTAGTTGTGCATGTAAAGGAACTAAGGAGGGAGGCACGTGACAGCCAGCAGCGCCACGTGATTTTTTAAGGGATTAGAGATAGTTGTCTGCATGTTGCACGTTCGGTATATTATTGTTGTGATAGGTTGGAGTTTGGCTTTGTGTTTTGTTTTGATTTTTTAATTAAAAATTACTATAATTATTCATTAAAAATATTAAATATCAATTATTAAAATGTTATTTCTTAAATAATATTTATGGTTTTTTATTTTTAAAATTATAAATGATGAAAATTTACTTAAAAAAGTTATTAAAATATTTTAAAAAATACATATATAATTACAATTATTAAAAATATATTAGTATATTACTCCATCCGTCCACGTAGAGGGACTGAGGGAGTATTATTTTGGAACTATTTTTTAAATACTTAAACTTGATATATATACTTTTTTTTTCTAAATAATTATAAAAAAAATATTTTAATTAGAATCATAAATATAACATACTCTAGAACATAATCTAGATTAGGACAATAATATGAGCGCGAGTGTGAAATCAATATAGTTTTATTGTCACTTTTTTGAGTCATTTAATATAATTATATTCAATTTTTGACTGTATTATATAATTTTAATTTGATTATACCCTGTTCGGTATTATAGAATTAAAATTAATTAATTTTAATTTTAATAATATCAAATTGAACAAAAATGTTCAATTGTACCAAAATTAATCATTAAAATATACAATGAGATAAAAATGAAAATTTCCCTTTAATTTAATATTTTTATGAAAAAATCAATAAACAGTAAAATTCGAATTAAAAAATCGTAAACAAACAGGGCATTTGGCCCGCCCGAGTGGCATTCTTCTACAGTTCTTAATTCGAGCCGGGTCCGGGCTGAATTGGTCCGGGTCTTTGATATAGTTTTGAAAGTCCAGGAGCTTCGTATATTTTAGTTTTTTATTTTTTCATTTTTAATTTACAAAATAAACCCTCCTTTCTTCTTTAAAGTTCGGTCGGGCGAAATTTCGAACGCTTTGATTCGCAATCACATATCTTTGCAAAGCTCACGAAAATGGCGGAAAGCCCCGACACTGACCTCGTCCAATCGCTGCAACTGCAAATGCAGTCTCTTAGCAGAAGAATTCAAGTATTTTATTCTATCTTATTTCAGGAAATTTCAACTCTTTATCATCCATCGTTCCTCGGATTGCTAATTATCTTGTTTGCTCCTACAATTTCTGTGAAGTAGGAACTTGAGGCTGAAAACGCAAGACTTTCAGTTCGTCTCTCAAATTGCGACTGTCGGAAGGTATATCTATATCACAACGTTTTGTAATGAATAGTTTGTATGCTCGCATTGTGTGTAGTTAATTGCTTCTCTCTGAGTTCTGTTCATGGTGCGTTTTGTGAAGTGTTGAGTTGCTGCTCTTTCTTTGTCGAAAAAAATACAATAAAAGTTGATTTAGTAAGAATTGACAACTTCTAATTGTTGTTTCTTTTCTTTTTTTCTTGTTCTTATTTATTTATTATTTTTTATGGCGTTCTAGTTGTTGTTTCTTAATTGGTAGAGTGCTTGTTGATAGTTTGTTTAGGACAAAAACATGAGGGTTGTGTTTCTTTGGGGTTATGATTTTGGGTTTTGAATTGAAATAGTTGATTAATGGGATATAGATAGGTGGTGAATGTAAAATTTATTTTAAATTTCTTTAGAGGAATAACATAAATTCCAAAATCCTCAAACAAACACACCCGAGGGTTTTATGTTGCTATGGCTTGTGTACGCTACAACTATGTAATTTGATCTGCAGGTCGTTGAGAATGATGAAACTGGTGGTACAATTGAAGAGATGGAGGCTTTGCAAGTAGATGATAGAGGTTTGGTAAACAGGTCAATAGCCGAAGTTTCAGGTTTAGTAATTCATTGAGCCTAGAAGCCATGGGTTTAACTTTGAAAATTAATTGTACTTTTATTTGATACATCCCTGGAAATTGATTATTGCTATATTATTGTCCAATACAGGGAATGATAGAAATGATAAATTGTCTTTGAGTCATTTACCAAAGCGGCATATTGCATTGAAAGTAATGTATTTTGGTCAGAGGTACGTGCAATGGGAATCGCTTTGCAAATTGTTTGTTTTGTTTTACCAGGTGGAGAAGTAACAGTAAACTGTCTCTTGGTTACCTGTGCTTGTTGGTACTTATTATCAAACCTTGAGAATTACTTCTTCATCAATCATGGATGATGGATTTTCTACATAACACAGCAATACTTATCTTTGTTATCTAGTCCTGGGATTTTGTGAAGTAATTAACTCTTATAAAAAACATTATTTTTGCAGGAGGTATGATTATTGCACTAACATTCCATGTGTATTGTGAATTTTGTTGTCCAAGTAAAATGATCTATTTTCTGCACTCTTCTTACCATGGAGTCCATTTAAAGGAGATAAAGTAGTTTACAAGTTTTTTACAAATAAAGAATCTTCTTCTCTATACGTTCATAAAGTGTCATGTTATTTGCACTACAGATATTATGGGTTTGCGTCAGAGGCACAAAATTATCCAACCATAGAGGTGTTCTTCCTTGCTCTTTATCTTGATTTCTTAATTTACATACCCATACACTTCAACAATCTTTGTTTTATTCCTTACTCTGTGGCCAGAGCAGGTTATTTTTCATATATATAAGATTCTTACCAAACTTGACAATTTTTTCTTATTTTTGGACACATTATGATACCACATTCTATGTAGTGCAGTCAGAAATTTTTAAGGCCCTCCAAAAGACAAGGTTAATATTAGGAGATAAAATGGAATTGAACTATTCAAGATGTGGAAGAACAGACAAAGGAGTTTCTTCTGTTGGTCAGGTAATCTTGTTATGCTAATGCCTTGTGTGAATGGCTTGTTTTAGCCTATTTCAATTCAATTGCTGATTTTTTCAGACTTATGGTTGTTATGTGGCCTGATGAAAACTGGATGGGTGGGGGTGGGAATGTGGCAAGGAGATGATAGGTTTTCTGTACAAAGGAAAGGCAAACCAACATGGACCTACCCAACTTTCAGGTCCTGTAGTGGTTTGAAAAGAAAGAACAGTATTTTCAATTTGTAGGATACTATCTAGCTGCCAACTTCCCTTTTGATGGTTTTACTTGCCTTATAGAAACCTAATAAGATGTATGTGTCTGAGTTATTGGGTACCATGTACATTTCTACATATTTGATTGGCTTAAAGAACTAAAACACCATACTCTATTTAAGATTGTTCTTATTAATATGAAGAAACATGCTATAAAATGTATGATAGACAACTCAATTTCCTAGTTTTGTTCTCCGCTTATGAATCTCTACATAATTACAATTCCAATGTGTAGTGAAATATAGGATTATTTCAAGCACCTATGAACTAATATTTGCCAAAATTATTCAGTTGGGATGGGACATGAAGGCTATACTGTTTAGGGTTATTATGGAGTCTCCGTTCAGATTCTTCTCCAGTGAAAATAATCTGTATATACAGATAACTGTATATCTTTTAGTTTTAGTTCAAATTTTTTCCTGTAAAATCATACTTAAAAATAAATAAATAAAAGAAGATTATTTATGACATTGTTTTAGCTATAGTCTGTCATCCACCAAAAGGTAATCGGAACCATGTTATAACTCTCATTGACGAGTGGCTTCTTTTATGGGTCTAAATCCTGTTAAAAGAATAGCAGAATTAACTATAGCACTGGAGATTTTTATTTTATGTTCTTAATCAATATTAAAACAAGTATATCAACAACCGTTTATAGCTTCTGTCTTTAACCTTAAGTATGTATTTATTTCAAACAGTCTTTCTTTCAATGGCATTGTGCTCGTGCATTAGTTTCTTGTAGTTACCTCTTTGCTTTTAGAATTATGTGAAGATCATAAGTGACTATGCATGCAGGTAATATCCCTATTTCTGAGATCAGATCATAGGGAAATACCTAGGATCAATGGATGTTCTGAAGAAACAGTTATCCACGAATCATATGGTATGCATAATAGTTTTTTTCTGATTTGTTCATAGCATAGTACTACATTTGTTGTGTTTCATAAAATATTCTGAATTTGTGCTTGCAAATTACACTAGAAATGCTGCCTTGGGATATTATAATTTTTTAAGATGTGTTATAAAATATAGATCACCAATGTAGCTGCTTCTGGAATAATTTTGAGCTTATAAAAATCGTCAAACTATTTATTTTGAGCTTCATAACATGATGTAGATTCTGTTCTGCCTCTTGCTTTTAGTTTAGGTTAATTTTAAAAAGTGTTGGGTGTGTTACTCATATTCTATATTGTTTCTGCATAAGCTTGTTCTTCATTCTACTTATAGCCGATTCATCTATTCATGCCATGAAACATTAATCTTCGTGAAAGGGGGAGAATTAGATTATGTTAAGTTGCTGAACCGAGTTCTTCCAAAAGACATACGAGTTATCGGATGGTCTCCTGCTCCAACTGATTTCAGCGCAAGGTATTGATTAACTCATGATTTGTTTTTTTTTTTTTGCTTTCTCTACTTGTATAATAGGATGTAAGTAATGAGTGGAAATGTATAATGCAACACTAAACAGTTGACTGGTCTAGAAATAGGTCTACATATTACAGTCAATTCATGCTCTGAGTGCTTTTGAAGTCACATATGTCCTTTATGAAGCTTTATGCTTAATCATTTACATTTGCAAGCCTTTCACGACTTAAGTAACGTTAAATCTGTTAGAGTTAGTGTAAGAAACTTCACTCTTTACACTCCTGTTTGACCTTTTGCTAACTTAATACCAAATTGAGCAATACTGGAAGTTCTGTCATAGTTTTGAAGTTAATTATAGAAGTGGGTACAAAATGATTTTCCTTGTATTTAAGATGTGGTGAAAGTTCCACAGATGCTATCTTCATTTCTTCTGAATTTATTTATTCAATGCAGGTTCAGTTGTTTGAGCAGGGAATATAAGTACTTTTTCTGGAGAGAGAATTTGGATATCCTTGTAAGAATCTTGTATATTTTGTCAGTGCACATGAGTTTTTCTCCTAGAACCTGCTTAAAACTTTAAAATCAGGAAGACTAAAAGTTTCTACATGTTCAACAGGTAATGGAGACTGCAGGGAAGAAATTCATAGGGGAACATGATTTCAGAAATTTCTGTAAGATGGATGCAGCTAACGTCCATAACTACAGGCGGCACATCATATCATTTGAGATGTTCCCCTGCAATGAAAGGTTTGGAAATTTCTTGTGAATTTGTTTTCTAATCAATGAAGTATACGGTTTATAGTTTCTGCCGTTGCTCCCCATATCATCCAATCTGAGATCAAGAAATGGACATACTTTTAAATTTAAATATTTCCTGGTTTATGCTTACAGAGTCTTTTTAAAATAGTGAATTTTGATATGTTTTTCTCTGTATGAAAGTAAGTACACATTTTACAAATTTCTATTATATATTATTCCATTCATCATAGTCCTAAATCAGAACATGTGAAAAAGATTGGTTGCATGATAAAATAGCCAATGAATATGTTGTTTGGAAGGATAGGTAAACATATGCATCTTGTCTATTCTAATGAAAAAATCAGGTGGACAAGGTTTTTACATTTGGCAATATCATAATTCTTATGAAGCCAGTGGGCAATATGATCAAGCACAAGAAATTGTTTGGAATATGAAAAAAAAAAAAAAAAATTGTTTGTAGTTACTATGCACCATGAGTTAATGATTAATTATTTCATGATCCAATAGTTTGAAATGTCATTGAAGAATGAATGGCCTAGTGATCTTTTATATCCACAAGATTATGCGCAATAACTGCACTGTTAAAAGTCGAGAGCAACATCCGTGGTTATTTAGATGGACCGGTCATGATTCTACCTCAGTATCACTATTCCATGGTGATTGACTCTTTAAGCTCTTTGACTTCGGTCTACAAAATAATTCATTTGAAGTAATAGCTATACACCAGGACTATAGCGTGTGAACTTCAACTAGAGAGAAATGCTCTTGGATACATAAGATCCATTTTGAGACAAGCATGTAGCTGATTTTTCAATAATCATTGATTTTTCTTTTTTGGGTCTTCTCATGTTCTGCAGGTTCGAAGATGATCAACTCTGGGCGGTGAAAATCAAAGGCAGTGCCTTCCTGTGGCACCAGATACGTTGCATGGTTGCTGTTTTGTTTTTGATAGGCCAAGGTCTCGAATCTCCTAATGTGGGTGGCTATTTTCTGCCCTTTCTCCTTATCTGTTGACTTTAAGCTACTGAGAAATACGAAATTCAAATCCTCATCTCATATACGATTATTTAAATACCATAGGATGCTACATGAACTTTGATCAAACCATGCCTGTGCCTTGTTGGAATGTGAACCACCCTTCTTAGTAAGCTGATCTAACATGTTTTGCCATAGGCAAATAAATAATCGACAACTTGAGTTTCCGCTTCTTGATTGCTTTTTCTGGTTGATAATCTGTTGAGTTGTTAAGGATACTGATTACACAGTGAGTCCAGTTTTTAATCGACAAACATGTGTTAACCCTTAGGTGATAGATGAGTTGCTGGATGTTGACAAAACACCAAGAAAACCGCAATACACAATGGCGCCAGAGACTCCACTGGTTCTCCATTCTTGTGAATTTGAAGGTCTCAAGTTTATGTGCTCTTCAGGTATTTTTCTACTTCGTGATGTTGTACTTCCTTTTAACTACATGCCTTCCAGCCATTTCGATTCTTTCATTACTTTATTGACGTTCGGAGGCACAGGTTTTGCTTTATCTGCTTGCTTTATATATTCCGTGCATTTGCTGTCACAATTCTGCAAACACTTAACATCCCACTTGCATTGCTTACTAGTGGCTTCCCAAAAAATTCCAGGCTATGGAAATTTACTCGAAGAAGTTGAGAATGGAAGCCAAATGAATCGAAAAATTAACGTTTGTTCAAGGTTACGTAGATATGAAGATGCATAGTTATTTTGGGAAATATCACCAACATTGAACCTTTTACCCACTAACATCCAAGAAAGATTTCACAAAGTCTTTGAATGTTTTCTTTATCATGAACATTAAGATCTCTTACTCAACCCATTGAGTAAGTTTTGGCCTCTTTGGCGTTGAGGATAGTTTTTAATCGTGGCGTACATGAAAAACTCTCTTTCATACAGATGCCCGAAAAGCACTCTGCACTCACTTCAACAAGGAATGCCGAGATTATAAACTTCAAGCAGCAATCTTTGACGAGGCCTTGCAGAGTTCTTCTTGTTCCTTCTATGGTACAAACGCTTTTCCCACTTGCTTCTTACCTGCATCTTCTATTATTCCCTTACGGAAGTTCTTATTTGCAGAAAGCTGTAAGCATAACAGTAGAATAAAAAGGAAAGGACTCGTACATATCCCTCTAATGTCCCGACCAACGGAACGTAAGTTATCTAAAATTATCACCTTTTAAGTGTAAAAGCCTTATTTGATCAGTAGCTCTCTCCTCCGCCTTTAATGGTAAGTAGCTTATTCAAAATCATCCAAAATTTTCTATGCTGTACCATTAAACTATTTTCGGGAGATGGTTTAACATTAATGTTGCCTTGCTCGGAAAAAAAAAAAAAACTTTGCTTATAGTCTATAACTTTATGCCTTTTCCAATGTCAATTAACGTTTCTAATAGATCTCTAGTCCCCTCTTGATGTTTTATGCGCCGAGACGAATATTGTTTATGATTGATGGTTATATTTTTCTTAAATCTTTCAGCTTCTTACGAAGAACGCCGCGCTAAATTGACTGTCCATGAGTAGAGCTGTTATGCGAGCTGAATACTCTTAAGTTCGACTCGAACTCAATTTAAAGAAAAATCGTAAAATAGTTGATACAACTTGGCGTCCGCAACAGTTCTATCCATGCCTGGAAAATTTCCAGGAACCGACGACGATTTAATTCTGAGAAGGAAGGAATGTAATTTATTTGATGCCAAGCTTGATAATTTATGTTTGATGTTATTATGGTACATTATTGTTGCATGTTCCAATATGAGTAATATTATTATTATAATTATTACTCTGTCCAATTGTATGCTTTAATGTTTGGACATAACTCTCGGCTGAATTATGTGTGGTAGTAAGATCCCAATGTTTGAATTTATGACGTCACACACAGTCTCTCTTCACATTATGAAGTAATATACATACAGAATACTATCTTCGTTTAGTTATAAGAGTTTGATATAATATTAATTATTATATAAAAATATAGTACAAATGTTTCTATCAGTGTTTTTAACCATAGATGGAGGAAGTAATAAATAAATATAAATTTTACCGGTGGTTCGGATAATTTAGAGTTTGTTTAGACAATCATTTTGAAAATTTATTATTATTTATTAATATTTATTTCTCACCAATATACATCAAAAGTTTTTCTTTTCCCCGCTATTTTCAGAATTCTTAAAACTCCAAAATTTACAGGAATTCTCCTGTCCAAGGGGTGTCTTTGTTTGAGAGAGATTTTTTGGCCGATTTTGGCGGGCTTTTGGCAGCGTTTGGTAGCCGTTGGATGAAGAGATAGACCCTACCCCCTCGGGATCGCCATTCAACTGAAACCGAACGACCTTTTCTCTCCATAACCATCTTCTCCACGATTATCAAATCAACTCTTAGAAACTGAATTCCTTCCTTCCTTCCAATTACTACTCTGTTTGAATCAATTCAGATTCCAAGCGATCCAGAATTTCAACTCTTCGCCTGCCTGCGTTCGTTTCCCAATTCAATGGTACGATGAGCGGTTGATTTTCTGTTTTGCTTATAACTTCAATTTATTTGATCGAACTTGCATTTATATGCTCGATTTCAGTTGAAATTTGATCTCGATAAGCTATAGCTTAGGGATTTTTTGGGGGGATTCTTACAATCTATTGTTGATAGTGTTCGATACACCAGTTTTCTACAAATTCAATGATTTGTGTTCTATGCATTATTGGTGGTAACTTAGATTAATATTTTGTCACGAAATGTCGATTAAATTGATCCACACAATACATTTTCAGATGAACAAGCAGATTGGTGAGATGTTGTGATCCATTGTACGAGTTAGGAAACTTCGATTAATATTTTGTCATGAAATGTTTGATGGAATTGATTCACGCAATCCATTTCTGGATGAACAATCAGATTGGTGTGATGGTGTGATCCATTGTACGAGTTAGGAAAATTGGATTTGGGGAATTTAATCGAACAATGGAGGACTACAAGGATAAATACATGTCGAATGTGCATCAGGCGCAGTATCGAACGGCTTCGGAGAGCGTTGATCCGTCGTCCATGTCTTCTTTGATCTCGACATCGTCGCAGGAGTCGCTGCCTCCGCCGCGATCCCCTCGATCCCCCAAATCTCCAAAGTCCCCGAGATCGCCGAAAGGCGGCCAGCAGGGTAAACAGAACGGCAGCGGCGGCTCCGGTCAGAGAAGCCCTCTCAAGAATCAAAAGTATTCTCATGGCTCCAAAGATGGACATCCTAAGAAAGGTAATTTGATCAGATGCATTCATTGTTGCGGCTGTGATTTAATCGTTTGTTTAACTGAAGATGTTTTCGCGGAATTGATTAGACCAAAATCGCCTATTCAGAGTGAACAGAGTACATTTTTGTTCTGGTGATCCAATGCCATAATGTTGCTTCTGATGTTTAGATTGTAAGTGTGATTTTAGGAGGTTTTTAATCATCTGTTCTATGCTTACTCTTAATCTGCTCGACTGCGCCGCAGGCGGCTGTGGCGGGAAAGGAACTTGGGGAGGACTTCTCGACATGGAAAACGGATGGGCAGAGGATCCGAATGATCCAAATTACATTAGCGATAAGGTAATCGATCGATTAGTTTAACCTTACATTGTTCTTAAGTTATCTATATAAGATCGTCTACGTCTTCAGGATGATGTAGAGTCGATCAACAGAAGGCGCTCTGAGTTCGAGAAGTTCAAGAAGAAAGCCACGGTTATAGTCGAGGAGTATTTCGCAAACGACGATGTGATGTCGACTGCCCACGAGCTGGGAGAGCTGGGAGTGCCGGGATACCATTTCTACTTTGTGAAGAAGCTCGTTTCGATTGCGATGGACAGGCGCGACAAGGAGAAGGAGATGGCCGCGATTCTGCTGTCGTCTCTTTATGGCGACATTATCGATCCACAGCAAGTTTACAAGGGCTACCAGAAGCTAGTCGAGTCTACGGATGACCTAACCGTCGACATCCCGAGTGCAGTCGATGTCCTGGCGCTGTTCATCGCCCGGGCAGTTGTCGACGACATACTTCCTCCTTCATTCTTGACGAAGACGATGGCCTACTTGAGCAAGGATTCGAAAGGGGTCGATGTTATCCGAAGGGCCGAGAAGTGCTACTTGTCGGCTCCTTTACACGCGGAGACGATCGAGCGATGCTGGGGAGGCAGCAAGAATAAAACCGTCGAAGATCTCAAGTTCAAGATCAACGACTTGCTGACGGAGTACGCGGTGAGCGGAGATGTGAAGGAGGCGAGCCGATCGATCAAGGACCTGAACGTCCCGCATTTCCATCACGAGATTGTCAAGAGGGCGGCGATAATGGCGATGGAGAAGAGGCAGGCTGAGAGCCTCCTCCTCGACCTTCTGAAGACGTGCGCCGACGAAGGTCTGATCAATTCGAGCCAGATGACGAAGGGGTTCGATCGGATTATCGATTCCGTTGATGACTTGTCACTGGATATCCCGAATGCGAAGGCTTTGCTGCAGTTATTGATTTCGAAGGCAGCCTCGGAAGGGTGGCTATGCGCCTCGTCGTTGAAGTCAATCTCGCCGCAACCGAGAAAGCCAGTGGTCGACGACGATAAGGTCAAGGCCTTCAAGAAGAAGGCCGAGTCGATTGTCCACGAGTACTTCCTGTCGGGCGACATCTCGGAGGTGAGCTGCTGTCTGGAATTCGAGAACACCGCGAACCTGCCAGAGCTGAACGCGACGTTCGTTAAGAAGCTGATCACGCTCGCGATGGATCGGCGGAACCGGGAGAAGGAAATGGCGTCGGTCCTGCTCTCGTCGCTCTGCTTCCCGTCCGACGACGTCGCGGGTGGCTTCGTAATGCTGCTGGAATCGGCGGAGGACACCGCGCTGGACATCCCCGTCATCGTCGAGGACCTCGCGATGTTCCTCGCCCGTGCGGAGGTTGACGAGGTGCTGACGCCGCACGAGCTCGAGGAGATCAGCTCCTGCTTCCCGAGCCGCGACTCGATCGGGAACAAAGTGATCCAGATGGCGATGTCGTTGCTCAAGGCCCGGCTCTCGGGCGAGCGGATTCTGAGGTGTTGGGGTGGTGGCGGGAGCAGCAGCAAGAACGGGTGGACGATCGAGGACGTGAAGGATAAGATCGGGAAGCTGTTGGAGGAGTTCGAGGCCGGGGGCGATGCGCGGGAGGCCTGCCGGTGCATAAAGGAGCTGAGCATGCCGTTCTTCCATCACGAGGTCGTGAAGAAGTCGCTTGTGATTCTGATGGAGAACAAGGACGTTCGGTTCTGGAGCCTTCTGCGGCGGTGCTTCGATATGCAGCTGATCACGATGAGCCAGATGGCAAAGGGGTTCGCCAGGGTGGCGGAGAGCATCGATGACCTGGCGCTCGACGTGCCCGATGCGAAGAAGCAGTTCAAGAGCTGCGTCGAGCGCGCCAAGGGGGAGGGGTGGTTGGATGGCTCGTTCGGGGTCAACGGTTTGAGCTGATCGGTAAGGTTCGTTTCTTTGTCCGAACCTTTTTTTTTTTTTTTTTTTTTTTTTTTTTTTTCCGGTTTGTCGGGGTTATATGAGTCGTGTGTTGTCTGCCGTTGTCGGAATGGTCGTTGAATGAACTACTGAATAAGAGTGAGCAAGGTGCTGAGATATCTGCATTTATATATATATATATATGTATTTGCTTCATGGGATTCATTTTTCTTGCTTTGTTACGATGGTTTTGGTTGTAATGTTTGATGTGTTTTATGTTATTTTTATATCATTTGTTGGGTGTAATGTTCTACGACAAGCTTCGTTTTGATAAGAGAGTAATTTTGACAATACTAAAAAAAAAATGATACTCCCCGCCTTCTTTATTTATTTATCCGAAATTAACGATATTTGTGTAATATATTGTAAATTATAAAGATATTTTTAATGTTAAATAGAAAGTACGAGAGGAATAAAGTATTTAATATGATATTTTGTAAAAAAAAAAGAAAAATATTTAATGTGATATTTTAACAAAAAAAAATTATAATATCAAAATTTCAAAATATATTATGTAAACAAAACACCTGTGTTTTGAATTTTGATAGACTCTCTCTCTCTATATACATTTTAGGCAAAATAATCATAAATTGACTACTGCGAAAACAATATCACAATGCAAATAAATCCATTAGTGTTTGTTTGTTTGTTTGTTTTTTTTTTTTTTTTTTTTGGGTTTTTGGAAAAAGTCAATTTTGGTTAGTATATCAATTTTGGTCCCAAAAGATTAAAAACTACATTTAGTCAATTTGCATATAATTATACAAAATAAACTATTGGCCTAAATCAATTTGCATATAATTATGCAAAAGTTAAAAAACTACATTAAATCCATTTGCATATAATTCTACATGATCCGTGTAACAACATGACCATGTATAATTATACACTGAAATATATATGACCATGTTGTTATAATTGTATATGGTTGTGTAGTTTTCAGATCAGCTGCCACATCACTTTCGTTATATCCACGTCAGCAATTTCCGTTAGTTTTTAACAGTGAGACCAAAATTGATTGAAATTGTTTATAATAAGACTAAAATTGATTAAAATTGTTTATAATTGGACTAAAGTTGATGAATTTTTTATATTGGAACCAAAATTGATTTTTTTTCCTTTTTTTTAATAGTAAAATTTTAATTTTAAAGAATTATTTGATATGGTATAAATATATATCAATTTTTTAATATTTTAAATATAAAATTAATTTTTAATATAATATAAAAATATTAATATTCGATTTAATATTTTTAGAAGAAAAATTAAATAAATAGTGAAAATTCTTAGAAAAATTCACAAGAAAACACAATAATGATTTAATTCATTTCAAACATATGAAATAGTTGTTACATCAAATAAAATGTAGAAATTTATTTATTTTATATTAAACTTAAGTTGATCAAATAAGTTTTTAAACTTTTGGTTTGGACTTTGATGAATTCATCGTATGTTTCTCTTGTTTTGTTTCGACAGCCGGCGGTTGCACTGGATTCGGGCCATGAGGAACATTATGCTTCTCCATGTTGTCAAATTTCGAAGTTTCGGGAATTCTCTTCTTTTTTATATTTACTTCAAATTCTGAAGATTTCAAAGAAAATAGAGATTCCAGAATTCTTTTCTTTTTAATATCGCCAGTTAAAGAAGATGAAGCATAAGAAGAACCATTTCTAGGACCAAATAGAAGATAAAGGACTACAAAAATGTATGCATAAGATTGGAATCCCATATTATAAATTGAAATCACTTATTGAAGTTGTACTTGACTGAAAATTGAAGACCCTTTTATAGAATTATTTTGCATAATTTTGAGTGAAGATTATGTTAATTTTATTATTGCAATACTATTAAATAATGAAAATTAAAATAGTAATATATAAAATACATGTGTAATATTATGAGTATTTTTATAATATGAAATTATAAATATGGTTTTCACCAAAAAATTAAACACTATTTTCATTAATATTATAAAGGGAAAAAATTAATTTTGATCCCAATATAATTAATTTTGGTCAAAATATAAAAAATTTATCAATTTTAGTCACATTATAAAAAATTTTAATAAATTTTGGTCTCACCGTTAAAAAACTAGCAAAAATGACTGATGTGGACGCAACGGAGTTGATGTGGCAGCTGATCTGAAAAATACACGACCAAAATTAATAAATTTTAGTTATATTGAAACCAAAATTAATTTTTTCCCTATGTTTATTATGAAATTTCATATTAAATAAACATCTTATATGATATTTTAATAATAAAATAAATTATAGTAGTATATAATATTTGAATGAAAATTATTTTGATATAAATAACTTTATTATGAGAAAAAATATTTTATAATATGGCATGAAGCACAGAACTCACACACGGTATAATTCAAAATTTAAGCGAAACAGTGAGTGTATTTAATCGTGAGGTTTTGGTTTTTAATTTTGGTTTCGAATAATAAAATTTTGAATTGAAATAGTTGTTTGACGTGATATAAATATGTATTGAAATAATATTTCGAATGTAAAATTAAATGTTAGTGCAATATAATAAATAAAATATAAGTGTTTAATTTGATATGTTTTACGGAATAAAAATTGAATAGTAAAAACAGAAATAAATTTTCACAAATTAGCACACAATATACTTGAACATATGAAATAAAAATATTTCATCAAATAAAGTTCAAATTTTATTTCATTTATATTCGATCTCAAATGATTATTTGTCTAACATATTGCAGGTGCTTCCCTCGGAATAGAACCTGATTTCGGATATAATCTTTTTGTGTTATTTAATTTTTGGATTTTCATAAGTTTTGGGAATTCTTATTCTCTTTTAATTGTTTGTTTCTATTTCCTATAGTGCTAGCGGGCTGCCTGGTGTTTCAGGAATTCGAGCATTTCTCTTGTTTCCGAGTTCCAACAATTTGTTCGGCGTTTCAAGAATTTTTACACTTCTCTTGTTGTCGAGTGGAATTGCCGGTGGTTCCTGTTGGTTTGGTCCTGTAGGAATTTTCCTCGTAATATTTTTGAGTGGTATTGCTGGTGGTTCTTGTGAGTTCGGTCCTGTAGGAATTCTTTTTTTGATATTGTCAAATTGTATTGCATGTGGTGATTCCGGTGGTTTCTCTGGATTCGGACCAGTTGGAACTTTTCTTTTGATATTGTCAAGTGATATAGCGTGCGGCGATTCTGGTGGTTTCTCCGGATTTGGACCAGTAGGAACTTTTCTTTTGATATTTTCAAATGATATTGCGTACGGCGATTCCGGTGGTTTATCCGGATTTGGACCAGTAGGAACTTTTCTTTTGATATTATCAAATGATATTGCGTGCGGCGATTCTGGTGGTTTCTCCGGATTCGGACCAGTTGGAACTTTTCTTTTGATATTGTCAAGTGATATAGCGTGCGGCGATTCTGGTGGTTTCTCCGGATTTGGACCAGTAGGAACTTTTCTTTTGATATTTTGAAATGATATTGCGTGCGGCGATTCCGGTGGTTTCTCCGGATTTGGACCGGTAGGAACTTTTCTTTTGATATTGTCAAATGATATTGCGTGCGGCAATTCTGGTGGTTTCTCTGGATTTGGACCAGTAGGAACTTGTCTTTTAATATTGTCAAATGGTATTGCGTGTGGTGATTCTGGTGATTTCTCTGGGTTCGGACCCGTAAGTACTTTACTCTTAATAACATCGCTTAACAAAGATGAAGTAAAATAAGAACCATTTGCAGATGCAATGAGAAGATAAATAAATAGGAGGATGTAGGCACAAGATGGGAATGCCATATTATAAATTAATATTTTGGCTGAATTAATTATATTTGATTGAAAATTAGAAACTCTTTATATAGAACTATTTTGAGAAAATTTAATATAAGATTATGTTATTGTTACTAAAGAAATAGCCCATTTAAAACTAAAGTTATAGTAACAAAATATGGTAAATCTACTAATTAATTTTCCATATTTTAAGAATCAAGAATACAAAATATAATTATATTTAAATATTAATACCCTTGGTTGAGGATTTTATTTGAATAGTAAATATTTTGAATTAAAATAATTAGGGAAAAAATTAATTTTGGTCCTAATATAATCAAAATTTATCAATTTTGGTTTCAATATAAAAAAATTATCAACTTTGGTCCCAATATAACCAAAATTTATCAATTTTGGTCCAAATATAAAAAACTCATCAATTTTAGTCCCAATATAAACAATTTCAATTAATTTTGGTCCAATTATAAATAATTTTAATCAATTTTAGTCCCACCGTTAAAAATTGCTGACGTGAAAGTGACGGAGGTGATGTGGCAGTTAACCTGGAAAGTACACGACCATGTACAATTATACACGGCCATGTTGTTACATGGTCATGTGTATTTCAGTTGATAATTATACATGACCATGTTGTTACACGGCCATGTACAATTATACACGGCCATGTTATGACATGACCATGTATATTTCAGTGTATAATTATACATGACCATGTTGTTACACGGCCATGTATAAATTCTACACGGCCGTGTACTTTTCTGTTTCGATTTAAAATTTTAATTTTTTGTTATATTTTTTAATTTTTTTTTTGAATTTAGAATAGTTGATATAGTTAAAATGGACAAAAAAAATCAATAATAATCATAATATAATTAAGGGTAAACTGTTTTTTAGTCCCGTAATTGGACCCCCTTATTATTTTAGTCCCGTAAATGGAGCCTGTCGCAAACTAGTCCCATAAGTGAAAAATTTTCACTATTTGTCCTCCGGCGCCGGAGATGCCCGCGTGGCTCGCCGGAGGTGACTTGTCCGCCAGGTCAGCGACACCTGGCGGACACGTGGATTTTTTTTTTTTTTTTCATTTTTAAATTTTTAATTGGACCAAATAAAAAAATAAAAAAATACAAATAAAATTAAAAATAAATTAAAAATAAGTTTTAAAAAAATTTAGAAAAATGAAAAAAAAAAAAATCCATGTGTCCGCCAGGTGTTGCTGACCTGGCGGACACGTCACCTCCGGCGAGCCACGCGGGCGTCTCCGGCGCCGGAGGACTAAAACAGCAAAAATTCTTCACTTATGGGACTAGTTTGCGACAGGCTCCATTACGAGACTAAAATGATAAGGGTTCAGTTACGGGACTAAAAAAACAGTTTACCCTATAATTTAAATATATCAATTTTAGTTCAAATATAAGTATTTATCGAGTATGTTCTTTTGGAAGATTTTGTCTAAAATTCTACTATTTAGCAAAAAATTTTCTCTTACAAACATCCAATTAATGTATTGAAATAATAAATTAATTTTTAATACTACTATAATATACAAAATTAAAAAAATAGTTGTGTAATTGGATGTTTGTAAGAGAATTTTTTTTTTCTTTTTGTGAATAATAAAATTTTAGACAAAATATTTCAAAAGAATATATGTTATAAATTTTTATATTTGAATTAAAATTAATAAATTTTAATTATATTATAATTACTATTGATTTTGTCCAATTTAACTCTATTAACTATTTTAAATTCAAAATAATTTTTTTTAAAAACAATATAACAAAAAAAAAAAAAAATTAAACTAAAATAGAAATGTACATGGCCGTGTATAATTGTACATGGCCGTGTAACAACATGGTCATGTATAATTATACACTGAAATATACATAGCCGTGTATAATTATACACTGAAATATACATAGCCATGTATAATTGTATATGACCGTGTACTTTTCAGGTCAACTGCCACTCACCTCCGTCATGTCCACGTCAGCAATTTTCGTTAGTTTTTTAACAGTGGGACCAAAATTGATTAAAATTGTTTATAATGGGCCAAAATTGATTGAAATTGTTTATATTGAGACTAAAATTGATAAGTTTTTTATATTGGCACCAAAATTGATTTTTTTTCCTAATATATATGATTAGATTTTTTTTTGAAATATATGTTTAAATATTTTTAACATTTTATTTCAGCAACATATATAAGATGAATATCATTGTAGACAATAACATTTTATATAATACAAATAAATAAATTTATTTATTTATAATTAACCTATTTGTTTATTGAGAAAACAAATAAAAATAAAAGAGTTTTGAGTGGGTAAGAGATTTAAAGTTGAATTAAATTGATTTATATTTGTTAAATATTTTTAAAATGAATAAATATAGATTATCTCTTATTTGACGGACAAAAAAAATATCATTTATGGTGGAACAAGAGAGTATAATATATTAATGAATTTTTAATTTAATATAAAAAAACATATGATGAAAATCCTTTTTGTAAATGTATAGTATGAAGTCACGAAACTCATACATACACAATATGAACTCATCTAAAAATTTAAAGTGACAACAAAATAATATACTTTAATATATGAAATATAAATATTTTATTTTAATTTCATTTATATTCCACCTTAAGTTATTATTTTTCTAATATATTGCAGGTGGCTCCCTTGGATTTGGACCTGATTTTGGTGATTTAATTTCGGGATGTTTTGGAGTTTCGGGGATTCTTATTCTCCAGTTGTTGCTTGCTTCTATTTCCGGTAGTGCTAGTGGGATGTACGGTGTTTCAGGAATTGGAACACTTCTCTTGTTGTCGAATAGTATTCCATGTGGTGATTCTGGCGGTTCTTCCGGATTCGGCCTTGTAGGAACTCTTCTTTTGATTTCGAATGGAATTGAATGAGGTGATTCTGGCGGTTCTTCCGGATTCGGCCCTGTAGGAACTTTTCTTTTGATTTCAAATGATATTACATGTGGTGATTCTGGCGGTTCTTCTGGATTCGGCCCCGTAGGAATTCTTCTTTTGATCTCGAATGGTACTGCATGTGGTGATTTTGGCGGTTCTTCTGGATTCGGCCCCGTAGGAACTCTTCTTTTGATCTCGAATGGTACTGCATGGGGTGATTCTGGTGGTTCCTCTGGATTCGGCCCCGTAGGAACTCTTCTTTTGATCTCGAATGGTACTGCATGTGGTGATTCTGGCGGTTCTTCTGGATTCGGCCCCGTAGGAACTTTTCTTTTGATTTCGAATGGTACTGCATGTGGTGATTCTGGTGGTTCCTCTGGATTCGACCCCGTAGGAACTCTTCTTTTGATCTCGAATGGTACTGCATGTGGTGATTCTGGCGGTTCTTCTGGATTCGGCCCCGTAGGAACTTTTCTTTTGATTTCGAATGGTACTGTATGTGGTGATTCTGGTGGTTCCTCTGGATTCGGCCCCGTAGGAACTCTTCTTTTGATTTCGAATGGTATTGGATGTGGTAATTCAGGCGGTTCCTCTGGATTTGGTCTCGTAGAAACTCTTCTCTTAATATCAGTGTTTAAAGAAGATGAAGCAAAATAAAAACCATTTGTAGGACAAACGATAAGAAAAATAAAGATGAGAATGCAAGACCACGATGGGAATGCCATAGTATAAACCAATATCTTGGTTGAACTTATATTTGATTGAAAAAATTACAAACTCTTTATATAGAACCATTTTGATAAATTTTAATAGAAGATTATGGTATTACTATTCATTCACTAACCTTTTTTAAAAAATACATTTATAGTAAAGAGATTATGGTAAGTTTATATATTATTTTTTTCTATTTCAAGAATATAAATTATTTTCATTTAAAGGTACATATCTTCTTTCCTATTTCAAGAATATATAATATTTTCATTTAAAGATGCATACCTTGTTTGTATATTTTCTTAAAAAGAAATATAAAAAATATTGATTAAACTATTATTATACTTATACATATTTTATAGTATTGCATCGATAGGTAAGTTAATTAACTTAATGCAATTCATTAGAAATTAAAATTTTATATAAATTAATTTACTTGCACAAGTATTTATGCAATCATAAATTGTTATATCCATTTATATAATCATCTTGAAATTTTAGTTTGAGAAAAAAATCAATGTTGGTCACAATATAATCAAATTTATCAATTTTGGTCCCAATATAAAAAATTCATCAATTTTGGTTCCAATATAACCAAAATTTATCAATTTTGGTCTCAATATAAAAAACTCATCAATTTTAGTCTCAATATAAACAATTTCAATCAATTTTGGTCCCACCGTTAAAAAACTAACTGAAATTGCTGACGTGGACATGACGGAGGTGACGTGACAGTTGACCTGGAAAGTACACGGCCATGTACAATTATACACGGTCATGTTGTTACATGATCATGTATATTTCAGTGTATAATTATACATGGTCATGTTGTTACACGGAGTTTAAGAAAATTTGGTGCGGAGTTTAAAAAAATTTGGTTATATAGTTAATTAGTGTGATTAGTTAGTGTAATATATGTAATAAAATATTATTTTAACTATTTTATTTGATGAAATATTGAAATTAAAGTTGAAATATTTTTTATTTTATTTTATTTTATTTAAATTTAATTTTTTATTTATTGATTTTTTTCATTTAAAAAAAATTATTATATTGATTGTAAATTATGCAATTAGATAAAAAAAATTAATTGTAATAATTTAAATAGAAAATAACAGCAGTAATACTAAAATTTTTAATACAAACAAAACATCAAATTTTTCGAATTTGATTGCTAGTAGGGATAGTTCGATATTACATACCAAAATTTATAACGCATATTTTATATATCGTACCAAAATTTTTAGTATGCTATTTTATCGTAATGAGATATTGTACCAATAATTTGGTATACTGAATTTATAGATGAAAAAATACTGAATTAACATATACCGTACTAAAAAATACCGAAAATGCCAAATTTCAGTATACCGAAATTTCATTTTGTATGGTATCGATATTTTTTTTAATATACCAAAAAATTTGGTGTGGTATACAATATAGTTCGGTATTATCTTAATACAGTATCGAGTCATTTCTAATCGAATTACATGTATGGTATCAAAATATAATATTTTACGCTGAAATATAAAAACTAAAAATAATTTTACAATTTTAAGAATATATTAGAAAATTAATTATCTTAGTATCAATATACTAAATTATTGATATTGATCGATACATCAAATACTAAAATATCAAACTGTATTGCTATTTTCGGTATATATTATACCAACAATGCTAAAAATATATGCAATCGTCGTATTAAAAATATTTGGTACGGTATCATACCATATAAAAATTTATGATATAAAAAAATACTATAAACTTTATTTTTCATATATATTATAAAAAAAATATTTTAAACTAAAAATACAAAAATAATACACCAGTCAAATAAATTTAAATTATTAATCTATTTAAAATATCATTAGTAATATAATTAAATATAAATAAAATTAATTATTATAAATAACTATATGTAATTGTACCAGTATATTCAAATAAAATATTATATTTTTATAGAACCAATAAAACATAATTTAAATATAAATATATACATATAATATTAAAAAAAAGAAATTATTTTTTTATTAGGTAGGAGGGTACAATGGTAAAATGTGAAATTTAAATAAGGTAAATTTTTAAATAAATTTAAAAAAAAAAATTAAATAAGGTAAATTTTTAAATAAATTTAAAAAAAATGTTAAAATTATGGTAAGAGATTTTGAATAGGGTAAATTTTCAAATAAATTTTTAAAAAAGTTAAATAAGGTAAGTTTTCAAATAAATTTTAAAAAAATTAAAATTATGGTAAGAGATTTTAAATAAGGTAACTTTTCAAATAAATTTTAAAAAAGTTAAAATAAGGTAAGTTTTCAAATAAATTTTAAAAAAGTTAAATAAGGTAAGTAGCCGTTATTAGATTTAAATAAGGTAAGTAGCCGTTATTAGATTTAAATAAGGTAAGTTTTCAAATAAATTTAAAAAAGCTAAATAAGGTAAGTAGCCGTTATTAAATTAAATAAGGTAAGTTTTCAAATAAATTTAAAAAAACTAAATAAGGTAAGTAGCCGTTATTATAATTAAATAAGATAAGTTTTCAAATAAATTTAAAAAAACTAAATAAGGTAAGTAGCCGTTAAGCTATATATTATAAATATTCATGATTTGGATGGAGGGGCTGCAATGCAATGGGGTACAAGTTGGTCTTGGAGCAGGGCAGAGGTGGGGTGGGGGAGGAATGAATTACGAAGAGGTGGGGGTGGGGTACGAGTTGGCCTTGGAGCAGGCAGGGGGGGTGGGGTGGGGAGGAATGAATTACAAAGAGGCAGGGGTGGGGTACGAGTTGGCCTTGGAGCAGGGCAAGGCAGGGGTGGGGAGGAATGAATTACGAAGAGGTGGGGGTGGGGCTGCTTACAGGACAGGGCGAGGGTCAAGTGTTCTTGGATCTCGATCGAAGCAATCTTGGTGAGTCATTTCTGATTCTTTTAATTCTCCATGTACTGCGAGTTTGAGTTCTTACGATTGCTTATCATTTTGCATCGATCGATCCTTCCTGTTTTAAGATCAAGAAGCTGCTTTGGCTGTTCCGGAAACCATAAATGGTAATTTGAATTTCAATCTCTTCTTTTTGTGATTTAATATATTACTCAAGATTTTAATATGAAAGTTTGTTTATCTTGATTGACTAATTAGACCATACATACCTCATTTGAAATCATGTAATTTCTTAAGTTATTCGGTATTATTATTCTTCAACTTGTTGATATATTATTGTTCATTATGTTCTAGGCTATTAGATGCACAAGGTAACGCGAGGATCCGCGAATATCCTTCGAACTCGAAGGATATCCTATAACAGGGAGTGTCTCCTACCTTTTCTTTTAATTTACGCTTTAAATTTATTTTATTTTCTTGCATATCCCGGGACTTGCATGCATTAATTTTGTTCCTAAATTTTATACTAACTTGTTTTTTAAGTGTTTTTATTTTGTAGGTAAAGCTTATGGGAGACGAGAGGATCGGCGAATATCCTTCGAACTCGAAGGATATCCCATCATAGGGAGTATCTCCTACTTTTTCTTTTAATTTACGCTTTCCATTTATTTTATTTTCTTGCATATCCCGGGACTTGCATGCATTAATTTTGTTCCTAAATTTTATACTAACTTGTTTTTTAAGTGTTTTTATTTTGTAGGTAAAGCTTATGGGAGACGAGAGGATCGGCGAATATCCTTCGAACTCGAAGGATATCCCATAACAGGGAGTATCTCCTACTTTTTCTTTTAATTTACGCTTTAAATTTATTTTATTTTCTTGCATATCCCGGGACTTGCATGCATTAATTTTGTTCCTAAATTTTATACTAACTTGTTTTTTAAGTGTTTTTATTTTGTAGGTAAAGCTTATGGGAGACGAGAGGATCGGCGAATATCCTTCGAACTCAAAGGATATCCCATAATAGGGAGTATCACCTACTTTTTCTTTTAATTTACGCTTTAAATTTATTTTATTTTCTTGCATATCCCGGGACTTGCATGCATTAATTTTGTTCCTAAATTTTATACTAACTTGTTTTTTAAGTGTTTTTATTTTGTAGGTAAAGCTTATTGGAGACGAGAGGATGGGAGACGAGAGGATCGGCGAATATCCTTCGAACTCGAAGGATATCCCATAACAGGGAGTATCTCCTACTTTTTCTTTTAATTTACGCTTTCAATTTATTTTATTTTCTTGCATATCCCGGGACTTGCATGCATTAATTTTGTTCCTAAATTTTATACTAACTTGTTTTTTAAGTGTTTTTATTTTGTAGGTAAAGCTTATGGGAGACGAGAGGATCGGCGAATATCCTTCGAACTCGAAGGATATCCCATAACAGGGAGTATCTCCTACTTTTTCTTTTAATTTACGCTTTAAATTTATTTTATTTTCTTGCATATCCCGGGACTTGCATGCATTAATTTTGTTCGTAAATTTTATACTAACTTGTTTTTTAAGTGTTTTTATTTTGTAGGTAAAGCTTATTGGAGACGAGAGGATGGGAGACGAGAGGATCGGCGAATATCCTTCGAACTCGAAGGATATCCCATAACATGGAGTATCTCCTACTTTTTCTTTTAATTTACGCTTTCCATTTATTTTATTTTCTTGCATATCCCGGGACTTGCATGCATTAATTTTGTTCCTAAATTTTATACTAACTTGTTTTTTAAGTGTTTTTATTTTGTAGGTAAAGCTTATGGGAGACGAGAGGATCGGCGAATATCCTTCGAACTCGAAGGATATCCCATAATAGGGAGTATCACCTACTTTTTCTTTTAATTTACGCTTTAAATTTATTTTATTTTCTTGCATATCCCGGGACTTGCATGCATTAATTTTGTTCCTAAATTTTATACTAACTTGTTTTTTAAGTGTTTTTATTTTGTAGGTAAAGCTTATTGGAGACGAGAGGATGGGAGACGAGAGGATCGGCGAATATCCTTCGAACTCGAAGGATATCCCATAACAGGGAGTATCTCCTACTTTTTCTTTTAATTTACGCTTTCCATTTATTTTATTTTCTTGCATATCCCGGGACTTGCATGCATTAATTTTGTTCCTAAATTTTATACTAACTTGTTTTTTAAGTGTTTTTATTTTGTAGGTAAAGCTTATGGGAGACGAGAGGATGGGAGACGAGAGGATCGGCGAATATCCTTCGAACTCGAAGGATATCCCATAATAGGGAGTATCTCTTACTTTTTCTTTTAATTTACGCTTTTCATATGTTTTATTTTCTTGCATATCCCGGGACTTGCATGCATCAATTTTGTTCCTAAATTTTATACTAACTTGTTTTTTAAGTGTTTTTATTTTGTAGGTAAAGCTTATGGGAGACGAGAGGATAGGAGACGAGAGGATCGGCGAATATCCTTCGAACTCGAAGGATATCCCATAATAGGGAGTATCTCTTACTTTTTCTTTTAATTTACGCTTTTCATATGTTTTATTTTCTTGCATATCCCGGGACTTGCATGCATCAATTTTGTTCCTAAATTTTATACTAACTTGTTTTTTAAGTGTTTTTATTTTGTAGGTAAAGCTTATGGGAGACGAAAGGATCGGCGAATATCCTTCGAACTCGAAGGATATCCCATAATAGGGAGTATCTCTTACTTTTTCTTTTAATTTACGCTTTTCATATGTTTTATTTTCTTGCATATCCCGGGACTTGCATGCATCAATTTTGTTCCTAAATTTTATACTAACTTGTTTTTTAAGTGTTTTTATTTTGTAGGTAAAGCTTATGGGAGACGAGAGGATCCGCGAATATCCTTCGAACTCGAAGGATATCCCATCATAGGGAGTATCTCCTACTTTTTCTTTTAATTTACGCTTTCCATTTATTTTATTTTCTTGCATATCCCGGGACTTGCATGCATCAACTTTGTTCCTAAATTTTATACTAACTTGTTTTTTAAGGGTTTTTATTTTGTAGGTAAAGCTTATGGGAGACGAGAGGATCCGCGAATATCCTTCGAACTCGAAGGATATCCCATCATAGGGAGTATCTCCTACTTTTTCTTTTAATTTACGCTTTCCATTTAATTTATTTTCTTGCATATCCCGGGACTTGCATGCATTAATTTTGTTCCTAAATTTTATACTAACTTGTTTTTTAAGTGTTTTTATTTTGTAGGTAAAGCTTATGGGAGACGAGAGGATGGGAGACGAGAGGATCGGCGAATATCCTTCGAACTCGAAGGATATCCCATAATAGGGAGTATCTCTTACTTTTTCTTTTAATTTACGCTTTTCATATGTTTTATTTTCTTGCATATCCCGGGACTTGCATGCATCAATTTTGTTCCTAAATTTTATACTAACTTGTTTTTTAAGTGTTTTTATTTTGTAGGTAAAGCTTATGGGAGACGAGAGGATAGGAGACGAGAGGATCGGCGAATATCCTTCGAACTCGAAGGATATCCCATAATAGGGAGTATCTCTTACTTTTTCTTTTAATTTACGCTTTTCATATGTTTTATTTTCTTGCATATCCCGGGACTTGCATGCATCAATTTTGTTCCTAAATTTTATACTAACTTGTTTTTTAAGTGTTTTTATTTTGTAGGTAAAGCTTATGGGAGACGAGAGGATCGGCGAATATCCTTCGAACTCGAAGGATATCCCATAATAGGGAGTATCTCTTACTTTTTCTTTTAATTTACGCTTTTCATATGTTTTATTTTCTTGCATATCCCGGGACTTGCATGCATCAATTTTGTTCCTAAATTTTATACTAACTTGTTTTTTAAGTGTTTTTATTTTGTAGGTAAAGCTTATGGGAGACGAGAGGATCCGCGAATATCCTTCGAACTCGAAGGATATCCCATCATAGGGAGTATCTCCTACTTTTTCTTTTAATTTACGCTTTCCATTTATTTTATTTTCTTGCATATCCCGGGACTTGCATGCATCAACTTTGTTCCTAAATTTTATACTAACTTGTTTTTTAAGGGTTTTTATTTTGTAGGTAAAGCTTATGGGAGACGAGAGGATCCGCGAATATCCTTCGAACTCGAAGGATATCCCATCATAGGGAGTATCTCCTACTTTTTCTTTTAATTTACGCTTTCCATTTAATTTATTTTCTTGCATATCCCGGGACTTGCATGCATTAATTTTGTTCCTAAATTTTATACTAACTTTTTTTTAAGTGTTTTTATTTTGTAGGTAAAGCTTATGGGAGACGAGAGGATCCGCGAATATCCTTCGAACTCGAAGGATATCCCATAATAGGGAGTATCTCCTACTTTTTCTTTTAATTTACGCTTTCCATTTATTTTATTTTCTTGCATATCCCGGGACTTGCATGCATTAATTTTGTTCCTAAATTTTTATACTAACTTGTTTGTTAAATGTTTTTATTTTGTAGGTAAAGCTTATGGGAGACGAGAGGATCCGCGAATATCCTTCGAACTCGAAGGATATCCCATCATAGGGAGTATCTCCTACTTTTTCTTTTAATTTACGCTTTCCATTTATTTTATTTTCTTGCATATCCCGGGACTTGCATGCATTAATTTTGTTCCTAAATTTTTATACTAACTTGTTTTTTAAATGTTTTTATTTTGTAGGTAAAGCTTATGGGAGACGAGAGGATCCGCGAATATCATTCGAACTCGAAGGATATCCCATCATAGGGAGTATCTCCTACTTTTTCTTTTAATTTACGCTTTCCATTTATTTTATTTTCTTGCATTTCCCGGGACTTGCATGCATTCATTTTGTTCCTACATTTTATACTAACTTGTTTTTTAAGTGTTTTTATTTTGTAGGTAAAGCTTATGGGAGACGAGAGGATCCGCGAATATCCTTCGAACTCGAAGGATATCCCATAATAGGGAGTATCTCCTACTTTTTCTTTTAATTTACGCTTTCCATTTATTTTATTTTCTTGCATATCCCGGGACTTGCATGCATTAATTTTGTTCCTAAATTTTATACTAACTTTTTTTTAAGTGTTTTTATTTTGTAGGTAAAGCTTATGGGAGACGAGAGGATCCGCGAATATCCTTCGAACTCGAAGGATATCCCATAATAGGGAGTATCTCCTACTTTTTCTTTTAATTTACGCTTATCATTTATTTTATTTTCTTGCATATCCCGGGACTTGCATGCATTAATTTTGTTCCTAAATTTTATACTAACTTGTTTTTTAAGTGTTTTTATTTTGTAGGTAAAGCTTACGGGAGACGAGAGGATCCGCAAATATCATTCGAACCCGATTTCAAACCCAAGGTAAATGATGGTTTTAATATTTTTTTATTTTTTCCTATAAATATATATACTAATATCTATTTTAAAATTTTTTTAGATGCATACGAGAGGGAGTGGCCGGATGATCGGACGACCGAATACATCATAGGGAATAATTCGTCCTTCTCCTTTTACATTTATGCATTTAATTTAATTTAGCATTTTGCATGTAGAAATAGATTTTTTTTACTTCGGTCCCGGGACATGCATGCATTCTATTTTGTTTCTATATTTTATACTAACTTATTTTTAAGTGTTTTTAATTTGTAGGCAAAACTTATGTGGAGACGAGGGGATCCGCAAAGATCCTTCAATCTCGATTTCAAATCCATGGTAAGTGGTTTTAATATAATTTTGTTCTTTCCTAAGCACATATATTAATATCTATTTGAAATGTTTTTAGATGCATACGAGAGAGAATGGTCGGATGATCCACCGAACATATAATAGGGAGAATTTCATTATTTTTCTTTTACATGTATGCTTTGCATTTGTTTTAGCTTCTTGCATATAATAATAGAATCATGTTTACGTCTCGGGACTTGTATGCATTAATTTTTTTAAAATTCTTAATTATCAATAAACATATGTTTTCCTAACTATGTCAATTTAGACTAATATAACTTATATTCTAATTAAAAAAAACACAAAATTTAATTAAAACTTAATATAAAAAATGTGGGCTGGCCTGGCCCGGTATAATTTGAAACCGGGTCATGCCTTGGTTTGGGTTTTCAAGCCCAATCCAGAATCAGGCCGGGCCTATTAGGCTTGAATTTTAAAACAACCTAAGACAAACCAAAAGATATTACTCTGTCCCTCGCAAAAAATGCACTTATTTTTTGCGTGTCGGAATGAGTAACATCAGCCTGAAATTGCCACATTTTTATTTTTTTTTTGCTAAATATGATGTCTACTTTCTCAAATTATAGAAGCAAACATACCTTAAAATTTGAATCCACCGATATGCTGAAGAATCAACTTGACTTCGACGGCCCTCTGCTCCAGCAGCCAGTCGGGATCCTCGGCAGTTTCCGGATGCAAATCCAAGTGATGGGCACCTACCAACCAACCAAGACAATAATATGAATGTAATTTGCACATAATTAAACACCATACATACTGATACTTAACTTATACTTAACTTTCAACACAACGTAAATGTTGAACTCTCGTAATCTCTCTTTAATGTTAGTAGCTCACTTACTAACTACCCAAACTACTAAGTTCATCTGTGTAAACTTATAATTACACTCAAATACACCACTGAACTCTACATGCATAAAAGCATAGAGATAAGACACCTCTCAAACTCCTATTTCACCAGAAGATTTATTTTATTGCATAATATTTATTGAAACAACGATAAAAGCAAAATAATGATGTTTAATTAGGGCAGCAAAGATTGAAATCTGGTTCTAGTGCAGTTACCTTTTTATGTTACAAGAGCTACAATGGTTTCGGATACAGACTCCAAAACACTGCTACAATATAATCAGTTTTGTCAAGAATCAGTAGTCGATGACTATTATACATACATAGATAAACAGCAAAGATCTTACCTGCCGCCGCTCCACGGGTCCAATAGCCCATTGGAGAAAATGATTTTGCTTCCAAAGTTTCCCAGGACTTTCTTGAATCCTTTTATTATTGAAAAAATTGAAAGAAAAAAAAGAAGGGTTAATCACTTTTGAAGTCCCTCGTGTGACACTCTAGCCTATAGTACTTAAAAAAGTAACAATATAATCCTTGTGTTCGACATTTGTCATTTTCTCTATTCACTGGTATGTTGGCTAAAAACGAAAATCACATTAGAAGAGCACATATAATTATATACATATATATATATATATGCACATACATGTCCACCAAATTCAGTAGTTATCCAGTTAGGCCTGGGCTTGACATGATAACTCTCGAAACACCACTCTACCATGGAAGAGTAGTTATAGTCGTATGTTGGAAACATGCTACCATTCCTGCTACTAGACATAGGCATTACCATCTCGGTGCAGGCCTACAAATTTAAACAAACAATTACTTTTAAGCTATACAAGAATGTGCACATGAAGTGAGAAAACATTAGCAAAGTCACACCTGCCAATTCCACCCACTCATACCATGAGGGTCATCATCCACATCGAAGCAATCAACTCTACCAGTGTAATTGTAATAATCGCTAACTCCAGCAAATATGTGCTTCAAGACATCAGTCCCATTGGGAAATTCATCAATCTTCCTACATACCTGACCGAGAGAAAGGCTTTGGTGAGCAATTAGACAGCGTATTGTTTATTAAAACCATTGCCCGTTATGTAATGGTTAAGGAAAAAACAATGTACCCAAAACACCATTTCACAAATCTTTCAAAATCACTTAAATCATTCACTCAAAATTGTTAAATTATCACTTGGAAAGGTTAGAGGAAACTTAAAATGCTTCATCACTGAATCCTTCTACATTCTACTCTTACCTCCGAAAACCTCGCAATTCAAAATAAGAATCCCATGGAATAATTAAAATGTTAGCAAATAAAGCCTTAATAGAAATATATCAACTGTAGATGTTTGAAACAGAATAAATAATTTCTGTGATCAAAGGAATTTCTAACTTTAAATATAAAAAAAAAATCAAGAAAACATGTTGTATTAGTTGAAACCAATTAGTACATATTAAATTGGTTAAAGAAGAAATAAAAATAAAAAATTTTTAAAAATAAAAATCAAGAAGTAAGCACTGCTTCCGGTAGAAACTATTTTAATTGTACCGAAATGAAGATGAAAACACACACACACACAAGAAAAAGTAATCTGGTGACTCAATTCGATCGGATTGATCTACGCTAGGGGTAGCCATGCCAAATATTTTCACTAGTATTTTCGTTAAATGCAAAACCCCAGCAGTGTCCGAGGGGTTGGACGTACATTACTCTCTAGGCTTTAGCTTGGAGCTTCACAACACAACATTTATAAGCAATTAGAAGCAAAAACGAAAACTTGGAAAGCACTTGTCAGCATAAATATTTGGTGGAAGCACAAAAACATATTGTTTGATCCCATACCAAATGGTGTCATAATGATGGAATATCAAATAACAAACTAAACAGACAATCAAACCTCATTTCCAGGCAACGGCATTAGAAAGTCCGACAGGTATGGATAGTTTGCCATTGCCAAATAACTATAAGTGACTCCAGCCAGTCATAAAGATCATCAACACTCTTTAGTTTCCTGCCAATTCAACTTCATTCACAAATTCCACAAAGATAGCTACAGCGAAGAAACCTCCTAACCAGGTACTAATGAACTTATTTCAAGAAAACGATTTGAACTAGAAAATGTAGTTCATACATCCTTACCTGCAAAAACCAAAAGCTTCAGTCAAATAAGAAAGCCCATTACTTTTCTGTGCCTCGGTTTCTATTGCATCCCATGATTCTTTTATAGTATTAAAGCAGCTAACACTCTCACGCTGCCGAGGAAAGAATCAAACAGTACTCCAGAAGAAGAGCCTATTCAAATCTAAGAAAAATATAACAAGCAAAAGTAAAGGCATACTCTGAAGCCATTAGAGACAATATCGTAAAATGTCTCCGAAGGCACAACATCCTCAAATTGAAGCACTGGCGCAATGTGGGGATACTTCAGCCTCATCCACGCAGACAACACTATGTCAAAGACTCATCATGTAGGCAATAAACTTACAAAATAAATAAAAAAACAAATGACTGTAAATTATAGTCTAAAGCCGAAAAACAGAAAAGGAATTGCACATACTTCCACCTTATGATCCACCAAAAAGCACGACAGGACAAGCTTGGGCAGACAAATTCCTCTTCTAGTCAGTGATCAACACAGCAAAATCAGCAAGGGCTTGCTCAGCTGTTAAATGAGCTAGCGTGGTTACATTCTTATAGGCCACCTCCTTACTGCCATACGGCATCATCGACTCTCCATAGTACCTATGCTGTCAATACAGAGCATTCTGATCTTACCAAAAGCATTGCCAATTTTACCCTAATTCCTCAGTAACAAGAAATTATTTATAACCTCTCAAGCAGCCATTACAATGTCCGCTTCTTGAGTGTATGTTTGCAATC